ACGTGAGTATCTTAATGAACCTGATTTGCACTTTAAAATTGTCTCTCATCTTCTCCTTTTTATCTGAAGAAAGGTGTTCTATGAATACATGTGTTATAATCTATAAATATAGATGTGTTATACATCTATATATATATATATACATCTCTATATAGATACGTTATAATCTATAAACATAGATTATAAAAAATAAAAAATGAGTATAGGATTAATAATAGATCTTTCATCTGAATTTAAATTCATAGCAGAGTATTAAGAACCAGGAGCCAGATTTGGAATTCAAGCAGTAGTTTTGTGGGTTTTTTTTCAGCCAACAGCATTTAGATCATTTTTTCTTTGTCAGTGGTGAGATTTGAACTCTGGACCTGGGTGCTTCCCTCAGCTCTTCAGTTCAAAGCAAGTGCTCTATCACTTGAGCCACAGCACCACTTCTCAGTTTCTGGTGGTTAATTGGAGATAAGAGTTTCATGGACTTTCCTGCCCAGGCTGGCTTTGAACCATGATCCTCAGATCTCAGCCTCCTGAATAGCTAGGATTACAGGCTCCTGAATAGCTAGGATTACAGGTGTGAGCCACCAGCACCCGGCTAGCATTTAGATCTTTACAGTATTATTCACAGGAGTAATAGAATGGTCAGTTCAGGCAGATGAATATAAGGAGCCTATGTGTCTGTGATATATTAAATAATCCCAAGAGCTGATATTCCCCACTCTGGTTCATAGGGATGATTAATAAGTGGAACATTGTTTTAAGATTAGTAGGCGGAACAAGATTTTGTTTTTGTTTTTTGTTAACACATTACCTCTTCACAACCTTGGGTCCCTTACAGAAGTAATTGCATCTGAGCAGGGAGGAGTGCCATTTAAATATCCTGTTCTGTGATATTTAGGACTCCAAGATAAACCTGTAGGTCATTCTCTATTTTCCTTTGCAATATATTTTAGAAGCTAAAGTACAAAGATGGGATCTCAAATAATTATGAGATAAATGGACATAATCTGGTGATTAAAGTATACCACACAATAAAAAAAGCCCAGGTGGATTACATAGCAATCTTTAATAAATCATGCTTGAGAGTCTTGTAAATAATGTCACTGTTAATATATAATAGAATTAAGCTCTTTAACTTTAAAACCATTCATATCTGTCATATCACTGTCTATGCCATAGTTCAAGATTACATAAGACAGCTTGATAATTACAGTTACTAGCATTCTTGATGTTCTTGAAGCTATGCAGTATTGGTTTAAACTCAGCAGTTAATCTGAATATTCTCCCAAAATACAATGGTGCCTGTGACCTTGGAATCAAGAACTAAGTAAGTTATGTTTACTGGTTGGGAGAGAGTATTTATCAACATGTATAATCATCTACTTAATCTAAGAAGTTTGCCTCTTAGTGGTGGTATTTTCCTTAGAAAAGAAAATCCTGTGTTTTGGGGTATTTCCTCGGTGAGATTAGTATTTGAATGGGTGGACTCAGATGGTACTCCCCATTGTGGGTGGGCATCATCCAGTTTATTGAGGGACTGAGGAAGGTGGAAGAAGAAAGAATTTACTCTTTGATTTCTTACCTTATGGCTTCACACTGCTTGTTTCCTCTGGCCTTAGATTTCCATCAGTGATGCCTATAGTTAGTTATTAGGCCCTTGGCTTCCAAGTTTCCAGATTGCAAGTGGTAGAACATGGAACTTCTTTGCTTCTATAACCATGTGAGGAAATTCCATATGATAACTCACCCACCCTCTGCCATATATCCTCCTGGTTTCCTGCCAGAAATATCATGGACTCTAAGGATCTCTGCTGCTTTCACAGTGAACCAAGAAGGAGAGCCACAGCATTTGTTCCCTACTGTCCTTACATTGGACACATCAGAAAACTACAGTTCTGTAGTTCCTATTGAACTATAGAACATGGACAATGTGACAACTATGTAAAATGAGTCTTGTGCGTTAAATATGGGATGCTGTTTCTTACACTATTTTGATTTGGAATCAGTAACACCTCTATGTTTTGGCGACCAGGTTTAGAATGTCTGAAAAAGCCCTGTTTAAGGATAATTTTTTTTGGGGGGGTGGTCAGTCATGGGCCTGAATTCAGCCTGGGCTGTCCCTCAGCTCTTCAGCTCAAGGCTAGTGCTCTACCACTTGAGCCACAACACCACTTCTGGATTTTTCTGCTTATGTGGTGCTGAGGAATTTGAACCCAGGGGCCTCATGCATGCAAGGCAAGCACTGTACCACTGAGCCACCTTCCCAGCCCCTCTTAAGCTCTTTTGCTCAAGTCTAGTACTCTACGACTTTGAGCCACAGCTCCATTTCTGTGGTTAACTGGGGATTAAAGTCTCATGGGGTCATTTCTGCCCAGGCTGGCTTCAAACCATGATCCTCAGATCTCAGCCTCTTGAGTAACTAGGACAGTGTCCAGCAAGGTTAATACTAGGTACTTCAAGAGACCTAAATTGAAATATGGAACTCCTAAAAGCCATTTTGAACAGATGGGCAGATAAGCAAGTTATACAGATTTGGGTGGTAGATTTAAAGCTGACCAGTTAATATTTGGGGAGTACATGGAGGGACAAAAACTCAGAGCAGGGGGCCATGTCTGTATTTCAGATAACCCCATGCATGCCTCATGGCTCCCATGAACTACTGTACGTTGGCAGAATGAATGGGAAAGGTAGTCCATGGCTAGCTGGGATTGAAGCCACTGGATGGTTTTCTAGGAATGATCCCAGGTCACCTCACTATTCTTAGTACTCTGGAATCATTCAGGGAAGATGAAATGGTCTCAGGTTTTCTTATGTGTTTGTTCCTTGTTCTAGAAGTAGATTTTACCCACTTCTCAGTTCCTGGAAGTCTCTTGTACTTTTGTTTCCTGGGAAGAGAAAGGCACTTGAGCCCTGAACAGGGCTCATAAAGGCACTTTTTTTGGGGAGGGGGGCAGGGCTTCATGGATTTCTTCTTGGTAGTTTTAGTACCACTCCTGAGATCCAGCATTTACACATGCATACTGAGTCTGTTCTGCTTTTTCCTATTCTTCCAGGATAGGGGATGATCAGAGCCAGGGATTTGTGTGATGTGGTCTATAATCCAGAGAAACCCCTTGCCTTGCCTTCCCCCCGGAGTCAGGACTTTTGTCTTTTGTTAATTTTTCTTCTTGATGACACCATTTAAGCTTGGCCAAAGGGTAAGGCCTGTGGAGCCCCTTACTATAAGTCCCAATTGATAAGTTGCTTGCATGACTGCTGGGGAACAGATTTACAGAGTTCTGTGAGAGTATTCTGATTTTGCTCGGTTTGGTCAGGAAAAGGAGCCCATGTGCTTTTGCTGATTGCGTCGAACCCGGAACCCCCAGGGTCTTCTAGGTTGTTTTCATCTGATTGTCGGTTCTCTTGGAGAGAGGCAAACTGGTTGAAATTTCCTTCTACTTTGCAATGTGGCTGTGTGTTGAATTCCTTTTCAAAAGATGACAGCTGCTATGGTACTCCTAAAAGTCCACCCTCCTCCACACTGAGAATCACCTAGATGACATCTCAATAGTAGAGTCCTGTGGTGGTGCACATCCACCACTGCCCCTGATACATTCCTGCTCTGCTAGGGCTGTAGCAATCTCACCATCACCATGTTCACATGTCCAAATTAGTTTCCCCAGCATATTTAAGACAAACTCCTGGAGGCCAGGCTTCTGCCCCAGAATTCTGGATTCGCCATGTTTTTATAAATCGAGTATCAGGAGGTATTGACTCTCCTTCTCCTATGGTGACATCTTCAACGAAGGACATAGAGGGCTCGCTGATGTTTGGGCTCTCAAAGTCATAATAGGAGTCAGTAAGTTCTAGTTGGTCATGTCCAGGAAGAAGGCGAAGGCGGCCAGGTTGAGCTGGAAACTGAGCAGCCACTGGAACTAAAGATATGAGCATGTCCTTGTCGGTGGTGCCCAGGCAGCTGAACTTCTGCATCATCTCCGGGTCCAGGTCCAGGTCCAGGTCCAGGTCCCCGTCCATGCCCTCCGTGGTGAGGGCTGGCCAGATGCTCACTTCCCCACTTCCTCAAAAGCAAGCTGCTGCCAAGTTGCCAAGCCAACGACTGGGAGAGGCCCATTGGTGGCTGGAGCTGTGACCCTGGTCCTCTGAGGTAAGCCCTGGGCCTGTCACTGCCTCATAGAGGTAAACTCAGTCACTCTCACCTCACTCTTCCCCTGCCCCGCACCTCTGCCTTTGCAGCTTCTGTCTTCCATAAAGGCACTATTTTAATCCCAGCAGTGCCCATGTAACCAAACCCAGCCCAGTCCCTGAGCCTGGCCTGCTGCTCCTCTCTGTTTTCACCATCTCTTGAGGCCCAAGAAGGCTGGTTAGTATGAGAATCATATGTGCATATGAGAAGTGTCTCTTCCTTTCCTCTGAGTCCACTCTCCATTTAAAAATCCACAGGAGGGCTGGGAAGTTGGCTCAGTGGTAGAGTGCTTGCCTTGCATGCATGAGGCCCTGGGTTTGATTCCTCAGCACCACATAAGCAGAAAAAGCCGGAAGTGGCGGTGTGGCTCAAGTGGTAGAATGCTAGCCTTGAGCTGAAGAGCTGAGGGACAGTGTCCAGGCCCAGAATTCAAGCCCCATGACTGACCAAAAGAAAAGAAAATCCACAGGAGTTCTAATCACCTTTAATTTCAGATATCTAAATCAAAAGTTGATTACTCCTGCTTACAGGGAAGATTAGTCTTTTACCAAGTAAACGCTCCCTCTAAAGAGACCAAGTGAACCTTATCTGCACCTGGAGTAATTTAGGAAAAGAGTTCATATGGTTATCTCATTTACCCTCAGCTTTTTTCTGCCTTTGGAAAAAAAAGAGTAGCCCATTTGGAATCTAGGTCCTAAAGGAGAGGTGAGGATACTAAGGAACCTAGGAAAGGAGGGAGAACTAGGTGCCCTGGAATTGGTCTGAAAAAAATGGCTTCTAGTTGAATGAGGTACACAGACTGTATAAGGAAGAAATGAAATCTCAGTGTGGGTCATATAACATTTTATTTCACCCCCAGAAGCTAACTCAATCTCCCCACAACAAAGGGATGGCTTGGGCTCTGCTTGAGCACTGCCAAGCATGAAGGTTTGACCCCTACCCTTCTTCCCCTCCCTACCTCAGAGTAATACATTATAAATCATTGTCTGTTGTTCAATAAGTGTTCAAAATACCTATGGGGGGAAGTATAATTATTCATGACTAGATTTATCCAAAGTGTCCAATATTGGGACTGATAGAGAGAATGCTGTCCCTGAAAATAAAGGCCTGGGTTGAGAGGGCCAACTTGCTTGAATGTTAGAGGGGAAAACTTAGCAACAAACAGTACTATTCCTAGTCCTAGGATCTCAGCTAGTCAGTGGATGCCTTCTTTCCTGCTTTCTGTTTCCTTCCTGGATCCTTCTGATTTTCTCAGGCAGGCTTCAGAGTTATTTCTGTCTAGTAGCCAGGCCTGCTATAAGATGGACAAGTTGCTGAATGACTTTCTCTACTGAGTCCTGACATGAGGATTCCAGCTACAAATCCCAGCTGGAAGGGAAGGATTATCTTCTGAAACCTAGCTAAATAATAACAAGCTGGAGGTCTGACTTTCAGCTTCAGACCAAATTCTAGTGTGAAACATTTTCTGGAGTCAGATTCAGTAAGAAGAGGGCAAGGTCTCTTAAGGTACTTTGGTCAATTCTGCCAGGCATTGTAATCTAATGATGTTCTCACATCATTTTCACGTTCTTTGCTGTGATGTACATAACTAACATTTCTGCCCACCCTCTTCCTGACATGCAACTGATGAGAGTACTAAGGGAAGATGTAGTTCAGGGAGAAAGCAGATCCAGAGTTAGACTTCAAGTCTCCTGTCTCCCCAGTTAGGACTCACTGGTTTCCAGACCTGTTCAGCCCACCCAGTATCTGTCATGAGCCACTCTCTATCCCTTTATCAGTGGGGCAGAGGGTGGGAGCTAGGCCCTCAGTTCGGTAGGTGTGTCCGGCTGCCGAGAGGGGTGAGACACTTGGAAGGCCTCCAAAGCCAGCAGTGTCTTGTTGATATGGTTGATGGTAGGGTAGGGAGTGAGGTCCACATTGAACCTATGGCAGAGAAGTACCTTTTAAGCCAAGGTTTTAGGGAAAGAGAGAGACTTCCCTGTGGGTAGTAAGGGTAACAGAGAGGCAGTGACCAGACAGTGTTTAGGGGCTGGCTAGGGAAGGATAAGGAAGGAGCCTCATTCAGAAGTAGCTCTCTGGGAATGGGTAGATGTAGTGCAGTATCATTTGGAGAGTTACCTACTACTCTTTTTTTTTTTTTTTTTTGTTGGTCGTGGGGTTTGAACTTGGCTTGGGCGCCGTCCCTGCGCTCTTCAGTTCAAGGCGAGCGCTCTACCACTTGAGCCACAGTGCCACTTGGGTTTTCTAGTGGTTTATTGGAGATAGTCTCATGGACTTTCCTGCTTGGGCTGGCTTTGAACCACGATCCTCAGATCTCAGCCTCCTGAGTAGCTAGGATTACAGGCGTGAGCCACCTGTACCTGGCTATTCCTCCTTTTTTAACTGCCATGTGTGAAGCCCAGTGCCAAGCATTATAGATGGTATCTCTTCATGTCATAAGATTCTTAGAGGAGGGAACCTGCCATGCATTTCAATAGCCCTACTTTGAGGCATGATACCTTCCATGGGTGGTGTAAACTTATACAGTATTGAAGGACCAATGGAAGGAACAGATATACCACATCTGCCAGTTAAGCTGCCTCCTCTCAGGAGCAAGGATCCAGTCTACCCAGGGTCACCTGGGCAGCAGGAAGCATAGTTAGAGGCATTTCATTGTTTTCTTCTACCCTCTGTGGTCCAGGCCAGGGTGTTCCTTGGCCAATGGAGGAAAGGTATGCTTGGATGCTACCTCAGTAGCTGAAATGGGAGACCTAACTAAGGGGGAACCAGAAAGAAGGGTGGAGGATGAAGTCTTTACCTTTTAGCATTGGCCACCTGGGGCACTAAGCACAGATCAGCCATGGACACCTGAAAAGGGGGTTGGATGAGTTTGTGTCAGGGTGAGCACCCCAGACTCACTGGCCAGGCTAGGTGTGCCTATTTAAACTAGCCTTTCCATCTGCTCTGGCTCCGCCACCATCTCTACCATCCCTCCTACCACTCCCCTTGGCCTGCCTGCCTCTCCCCCAGAGCTAGAGCTTCTCTTAGACCATGCTCTAGTCCCCTTGACAATCAACTCTGTGGGTCAGAGAAGATGGGAGCATTATGCTGGATGTCAGTATGTTCATTAAAGTTACCATTGCCAGGTACTTAGTGAGAATTCCCAAAAGGGAGGCAATACCTCAAGGCCCCAGGAACTAGAACAACCACAGGTCCAAGGCCTGCCAAGGCGAAGACACTGAATCTTCAATCTCAGAACTGGGTGAGATGGAAAACATCTAGTCTAACCCCTCAGCTGATGCCTTAACCACCTCATCATCTCAGAGGTGCAGTCTTTCAACTTGGATACCCTATGCTTCCTCTTCAAGAAGCTTGGGAGGCATTAATGGGCTGTGTAGTTCCCTGACTGGCACAGAAATCTAAAGAAGAACCCATGCCACCCTGTAAGTGTCTCTTCAGGAAGTTCTACATTCTGCTTGTCCAGAGAAGGAGGAGGAGATGGTTGAGTATAAGTAGAGAAAATGGAAGCTCAAGATCTTCATGAGGGAGGAGATTGCCGTGGGCAAGACAAAGAACACTTACCTCATCTCCAACACAGTACTTCCCCGCTGTGCTCTGCAGAATCTTCTCCAGAGCTGTGGGAGGCCAAAGGAAATCATCTCACTCTGGGCACAGGAAGGGAACACCGGCCTTCCTAGGACTTGGCTTCCATAGGTACAAAATGGGCAGCTATTGAAGTGACAGGTTAGGGCATGGGTGCTCGTGAGAATATGGCAGCTAGGCCGAAAGAGAGTACTTGGGGACAAACTCATGTTTCTCCTGGGGCCTCAAGCCCAGGCACCCATTCCCTTTACAAGGCATGAGTAGACAAGAATATATCAGACCTATATCTGGCCAAGATTGCAGCTTTCACACTGGGGAGCTTGATTTCACAGTGGTCTTGATTTCTTGGTTGGCGAGGACAGGAAAGCAGAAGCAAGAGCCCTCATCCAGCTCTGTAGAGACATGGGCCTTTAGACTGAGGCTCCCAGAAGTACTATATCCTGGTACTATGTTTAGATGTCTACCCAGCTTTGCTCTTCTCTGTGCCACTATCAAGACCAAAGCAGTCTGGGAGGTTGCAGATGCTTAGTGCTCTGTGTGTAAGGGTGATTGCTCTAAGAGCTCAACAAGTGGAAACTCACCATCAAAGCCAGAAATGATGACCTTCTGGGCCCAGGGTTGTGGGTTATCTCCCATCTGCTTCAGGACAGACAGGTTCTGTGCAGCCAAAGAAAAATCTTTGATAGCTTTGAGAGCCAGCCAGAGTCAGCCCCTCAGGCAACCTCCCTCAGGGAAGCTCAGTTCTGGTCTGCCTCCGCCTTTCGGCCCTGAAGTTGCAGGAATGTAGCTATCTGGCAGTTACTCCACCAGGTGCTACAGTTAGTCTGAAAGCCAGTCATTCTGGAAGCCACGAGTAAGAGTAAGGACACAGGAAGTTGCTTGGCCACATAGCTTGAGGCCTATTTGCCCCACACCCAATGCCTGTCCTTACTTTAGTCCTTGTGACCAGACTGAATGTAACTCAAGATAGGGCTGGGATGAGGAAGGACTGATTTCTAAAGATTTTCACTCTAGTGCAATTCCCTCCCTTTTTTTTTTTTTTTTGGTCGGTTGTGGGGCTTGAACTCAGGACTGGGTACTGTCCCTGAGCTCTTCAGCTCAAGGCTAGGGCTCTACCACTTGAGCCACAGCGCCATTTCCAGTTTTCTGGTGGTTTATTGGAGATAAGAGTCTAATGGACTTTACTGCCCAGGCTGGCTTTGAACCATGATCCTCAGATCTCAGCCTCCTGAGTAGGATTATAGGCATGAATCACTGGCACCTGGCTCCCTTTTGTTAAAACGAAAAGATGTGGGGCTAGGAATGTGGCTTCGTGGTAGAGTGCTTGCCTAGCATGTATAAAGCCTTGAGTTAAATTCTTCAGTACCACAAAAACAGAAAAAGTTGGAGGTGGTGCTGTGGCTCAAGTGGTAGAGTGCAAGCCTTGAGAAAAAGAAGCTCAGGGATAGTGCCCAGGCCCCCAGTTCAAGCTACAGAACTGGCAAAAAAAAAAAAAGATGAGAGAAGTGGAAATGTGTATATAGGAGTTCTGGGCTTGATCCTACCTGCTATGTTATCTGGTAAAGTCATTCTACCTTTCAAAGTCAGAATTAGAACAGATGAATGGTTTTAAGTACTGCTTTTCTGTTTTACTAGTGAAATTTTTTTTTTTCATCATATAGACGTACTTCAGAGATTGTGGCTTAGTTCCAGACCATGGTAATAAAACAAATCACATGAAATTTTTGGTTCCAGAGTATTTATAAAAGATTTGTTCACCCTACACTGTGGTACTAAGTATGCAGTGGCAGTAAGTCTTTCATTTATGTGGTACTGAGGATTCTAACTTGTTAGAAGTCTAACTTGTTCTACTATCTGAGCCACATACTCCAGGTCTTTTGCTTCAGTTTGTTTTTCAGATAGGGTCTAGTTCTTTTCCTTTGGACCTCCTACCTAAGTGTCCCAAGTAGCTGGAATTACAGATACATGCCACCACACCAGGCATGGTGACTCAAGTCTGTAATCATAGCTACTTGAGAGGCAGAGATGGGGTTCAGGGGCAGGGGGAAAGAAATCAAGGCCTGTCCAGGCAAAAAGATCACAAGGATCTTTGATCATGAAGGTCATGATCCAGACCAGCCTAGCCATAAATGCTAGACCCTACTCAAAAGAGAAAAGGACTAGAGGCATGGCTCAAATGGTCAGATGCCTGCTAGGCAAATACAAGGCCCTGAACCAATAGTACCACCAAGACAGACACACAGACACACACAGACATACACAGACACACAGACACACACACACAAACACACAGACACACACAGACACAGACACACACACACACACACACACACACACACACACACTCTGCCAATAATCATCTGTTGGGAATATGTCACTAGACTTTCTCAATGAAGGATTTCCCCAAATCTTCAATTTGAAAATGCAATGTGCAGGAAATGAAGGAAAGTACAGTGAAACTAAGTATGCCTGTCTGTGATTGAACAAATTAGTTAAATGCTGCAGGCCTAGCTCTGAGCCTGCTCAGCCCTCCCCACCTAGAACATCTCTAGATGTGTCCTTGGAAACACAAGGTTTCTCAGAATGCAGTCAGAAACCAAATTGCTCCCACCATGAGTCTGGACACGTTTACTGGACATCCTTCTCTGGACACCTCACAATCTATATGGAGATGAATGTGAGAGGAATACACGTGTAAGGGCTCACCTGTAAGGGCTGGATGCCACTACTGATGAGGTCAGAAATCATGCGCACACTTGCCTTCTTCTTTGGGTCCTGAGGCAGGAGACGTGGAGTGGGCCGAGTTTCCTCCAGGTATTCAATGATGGCCAGCTGCCCACAGGGGAGATTGAAGCAAAGAGAAGGCATGGGACCTCTGAACTAGAGGAAACAAGTCCAGCAATCTCCTCCTCTTCCTCCAATGGAATTATCATCATCTCCTCCTTACCCCTCTCAGCTGAAGCACTGTTAAGCCTTTTTGGACCTTGTTCTACAGAACTTGGATTACTATAAACTCCCTAAGCAACTTATCTCTCTCTTCCTCTGAAGAAATATGCATTGAGACCCTACTACATGACATCAGGTTCTCTTATTACAGCCCTGCTCCCACCAGTGGTCTCCCAGGAGTCCTGTACTCACTGACTGGCTAATGATGATTCCATCAATCTTCAGGGCTGGCACCTGCTTCATGGGATTCAGTGCCTCAAATTCCTCAGAAAACTATGGAGACAAGATTGAGTCAGTTGGGTAACCTGGCTTGAGCTGTAGAGAGCTGAGTTAGGCAAGCCTTTGCCTATGCCTGACATCCATCCATAACTCCTTTTCCTGGAGAAGGCATACCTCTCAAGTTAATCTCTGGGGGATCTGTGCAGTATTCCAGACCCCAGCGGCCATTGAACTGTGGGCTTCATCCCGAGAGCCTGGCTATCATTTTCCCTTTCGTGTCACATTGTAGTCCCCAAGGCAACTCCTACCCTAGCCAGCCATCAAGAGGACCCAGTAGGGGGCAAGGACCCACTTGCTGCCCGCCCTAATGTAGTCAGGGATTGGAGTGCCCAGATTATAGCTGAGCCTAGAACCTGAGCCTTCCCATAGTTCCTATTTGCTAGGCAGCTTGCCACCTTGTCTCACAAGGGAGAAATAGAAGCATCCTCTCCCAGCCAAAGAGAAAATATCACATAGGTTTACTTCTTGAGGGCAGACCTCCTTACCTAGCTCCTCGCTGAGATCCAATTCTTACATCTTGGTCGGGGAAAAGCTTCCTTACCTGTTGTCCCCCATCCTTTATGAGATTGATGGGTACTGTCTCATAGTTGATGCCTTTCAAGGCCAGGGCTATAAGAGTCCAAAGATAGGAGTAGGAGATAGCGGTACTAAAACTCCCAAGGCAATCTTCCTGGGTACGTACGGTTGCTGAGGGGGTGGTTTTTCTACACTCCTGGGTGGTTAGTGCCCAGCTTGGTACTGTCTCCTCTCTAAAGAAGGTGACTCCGGTGGTCAGTTTTTCTCCCTTCTGTAGCAAGGTAAGGGTAAAGGGCTTGGGATGGACCCAGTAGAGACCTCAGGTGTACGTGCATATGCACACTTGATTGTTGAAACATGGTGATGTCTGGTCTCTGGAAAGGAACTAGGTGAGTAGATGATGGGGTGTGTAACAGTATGAGGAGAACCTGGGATGCTCTGACTACCTCCATCATGCACAGGGAATGTGGTTGGAGCCCAGGGGGAAGGCTTCTACTACAGTGGCTTCTGGCTCAGCCAGAGCAGAGGATCTAAGAGAATGGGTGTTTTTTTTTTTTTGGTGCTAGTACTGGGGTTTGAACGCAGGGCCTTAGGCACTGTCTCTGAACTTATTTTGCCCAAAGCTAGTACTCTATCACTTGAGCCAGAGTTCCACTTGCAGCTTTTTGGTGGTTAGTTGGAGATTAATTTTCTTGCCAAGCCTGGCTTTGAACCTTAATCCTTTTGAGTAACTAGGATTACAGGTGTGAGCTGGCAATCGGGATGTCTTCTTGGAGGCAGGTTTTCTCCCACACTCAGTGTTCCTGCTTACTGGTTCTGCAAATCCCAGTCATGTAGCTGTGGGATGGTGGCTTTATATTTAGGGTCAGGGTCTGGAGGCAGGCAATGTTGGGTTCCAATTTCATCACATTCATTTGCAAATTGTGTAACCTTGGATCTGTGCCCTGAAGTTAAAAGCACAAATTGGCTGAGGTTGCAGCTCAGTGAAAGAGCAAATCCTTAGCATGCAGGAGATCCTGGGTTTTATTCCTAGCACCAAATTCAGTCAAACCAAACCAAACCCAGAGGGTGGTACCATACTACAGGGTTCAGATTTTAACTCTACCTCTTAGTAGCTGCAAGATGGTAGGTAAGTTATTTAACCTTTCTCTGCCTGTCTACCTGTTGTACAATGGAGACAACAGTCCTTCCTCCAGGGTCATGGAGGTTGCAAGGAAATCACAAAAGCAAAGCACTGGGCACCAGTGCTTCTATGACTGTGGATGTTGCTAAGAGTCACTTTATTTTAGAGAGGGGAGGGTCAGATGAGGTCTACACTAGAGGGACCTAGTTTTGGCTTCCCTAAAAGCTCTGTAGTCTTCACAAACCAGTTCCATTTAATTTGCCAGATAAGAATTGAGGGAGGCCAGCTGTTCCCCAACTGGTTACCAGGGACCTTTGGATTTTGTGACCCTGCTCTAGGCATGGTTGCTGAGGGGCTTTGGAGAGCAGTGCAGGGAAAAGTGACAGTCTTGACAGGAAAAATAACCCTTCTGCCTCATAGTTCTCTTGCTGGATTTCCTACATGGAGGTGCTATTTGGGGATGGGCGCTCAGAAGTCTAGAGATGCTAGTTGTTAAGAACTAAGTCCTACCTAACAGAGAACCCCTTCTGTCCCAGGCCAGCTTTACACCTGATGGTTCTCCATCCTATCCTACCCATCCCACCTATCCCAGGATTTCAGTTCTTACTTACCAATTCGAACTCTCCATGAGCAGGAGCTTCGGAAATAGGAGTAGAGGATGGGCTGAGGAGAGAGAGGAAAAGTGCATATATGAACTCAGCCTCAGTAGGTATCCAGCTTCAGGGGCCTGGAGACAAATAAGGACCAGCGCCCAGGCTAGGGGGTCAGATTGGCCTCTTTCCTCAGGCCTGTATCAGACTGTCTGGTTCAGAGACCCTGAGAGTTATAGAAGGTCCCTCTCAGCTCTTGATTGTGCTGGCATGAGTTTCTGAGGTCCAAATTGCACTCAAGGAAGGCAGCAGCCTGGAAGTGCCCAGAAGCAGACATGGTGCTATGTGAGTGACCTTTAGCCTCCCAAGCACAGTCTCCTTTCATCTGGCTGTGGGGTAGGGGGAGGAACCCTGAGGAGCAGAACCCATGAGCCAATCGTGAAACTGGGCTACCCAGAACTTTGGCACTTGAACAGGGCACATCTCCAACTTCAGGGAGGGTGTGATATGCTCCTGGTGTAGACAGGTTTGTAGTTGTCTGTGCAGACATTGTGGCCTGGCTTAGAGGCAGCAGTTTGGTGGTGGAGTTGGCTAGGAGTTGTTACACCTGGGGGTCTGGCACCCATAGAACAGCCAGCTTGTATACCTGGGATAACTCTAACTTCCATAGCCTACTTGCCCTAAATGATGGCAGAAAGACTAGGGATTCTAATTACCCCCACCCAACTCCAATTTTGAGTATTTAAGTGTCACAGTAGACAAACACCTCACCTTGTAAACTACCATCTACCAGCACACCACATGATATAAACTGATATTTTATATCAATGAAAATTTAAATCCATACATATAACAAACCATAGTGGAGACCCTAAAGACATGGATTTCTTAATCACTCCAGATAGAACCCTCTTACATGAGGCATAAAAGAAGAAACCCCAAGACTAAGACATGGCCGGTACCAGTCACCAGTCACAAGCCTTGTGTAGGAAAACTGCCAAAGTGAAAGACCTTTGTCTCCACCCTGAACTCCAGCGAAAGTGCCGTTTTTTCTCCCCATGGCACAAAGCTCACTAAGTTGACACCTGAAATGGCCTTCCACCCAGACCTGCACTTGATAACTGTACCCTGAACAACTCTGCCTGCAGTTTTATCTGGTTCCCCACAGAGACGTTTTGTGTCTGTAGCAGCACACTCTCTGTGCCTTCAGCACAGAGTTTGAGCTGTGCAGACTCGTTAGTCCTTTCTTATCATTTTTTGTATATTACTGTGTAAAGTGTAATGAGTGAGCCAATGGCTCGCAACTACAAATGAACTCAGTAGTACTTGAATTAAAGTGAATAAAATTATGTAACTTGTGGATTTATCGTGTTTATTTTACATACATATCTTATTTTCACAAATTCCAAAAGGTTGCACAAGGAGGTTACAATTTATTGTGTCCATTTACGGGTCCAGTGCTCTTCCATTGGATCGTTATTCAATTAATTCTGACATTGGGGAAAGACACAGTACGTTTGTTTCTGAAACAGCTTGATCATGATACCTCAGAATTCTCCTCCTCCCACTCCAGAGTGTCTCCTGACTTCCAGCCAGCCAAAGGCAAGGCTGCAAGCTCTTTGCAGAGGTCCTGTCTGGCCCTCAGGTTTTCTGTGTAGTCTACACAGTACAAGTGGCCCCTAACTTACAATGGTAATGATTATTTGACTTTATGAAAGTCCAAAGTGATACACATTCAGTTTAGAAACTATACTTCAAAGTCTCAATGTTTATCTTTTCCTATGCTGTAATGCTCCCTTAAAATGCTGGGTTGCAGCTGTGAGTCTCAGTTATATAATGGGACTGACCACAAGAGGAAATGGCTTATCTGCAATATACTGTGCTGCCAGTGATGTTTGCATATTATATCTTATGACTTATAGCCCATCATGTCTACAAAATGCCCATCTGTGGGTCTTGGGGTATAGCTCCGAATACTTGCTTAGCACATGCAACCATACAATCTCTTGAACAAAGAAGTGTATACATGAGATTTTTCAACACTTTATCATTAACTAGTTGTTGCCTGAGATCATTGTATACAACTGTAAGCTAATGTAGATATTCTGAGCATGTTAAGGTAAGCTAGTTTAAGTCATGAAAATTAGCAGGTTAAATGTACTACATTTTTAATTTAAAAAAAAAACAAAAACTTTTAAACCAGTATTTGGGCTTGATCTCAGGGCCTGGGCGCTGTCCCATAGAATTTTGCTCAGGGCTAACAATCTACCACTTGAGCCTCAGCTTCACTTCTGGTATTTGGTGGTTAACTGGAGATAAGAGTTTCACAGACATTACTGTCCTAGCTGGCTTCAAACCGCAATCCTCTAAGGTTACACACCAGTGCTGGCCTTTAAAAATAATAATTTTTGACTTAACAATCTTTTCAACAGCAATGGCTTTAACAGAATAACCCCATCAGAAGTAAGGGAGTGTCTATATCTTAAAAGGTTTCACTTGCCAACATTTAAAAATCAGGATGTTTACCTAGCATTGATGGCTCACACCTGGATCTGAGGACTAAGGTTCAAAACCAGCTCAGGAAAGAAAGTCTCTGGGAATCATATCTTCAGTAAACTACCAAACAATGCAGAAGTAGAACTGTGGTTCAAGTGCTATGAATGCTTGAGCAAAACAGCTCAGGGGTAGCATCCAGGCCCTGAGTTCAAGCTCTAGGACCTGTGTACACACACACACACACACACACACATTCAGGGGTAGCATCCAGGCCCTGAGTTCAAGCTCTAGGACCTGTACACACACACACACACACACACATTCAGGGGTAGCATCCAGGCCCTGAGTTCAAGCTCTAGGACCTGTAAACACACACACACACACACACACACACACACACACATATTCAGGGGTAGCATCCAGGCCCTGAGTTAAAGCTCTAGGACCTGTACACACACACACACACACACACACATTCAGGGGTAGCATCCAGGCCCTGAGTTCAAGCTCTAGGACCTGTGTACACACACACACACACACATTCAGGGGTAGCATCCAGGCCCTGAGTTCAAGCTCTAGGACCTGTACACACACACACACACACACCCTGGAGTCAGTGGACTCAGGTTCCCAGGCCCTGAGTTCAAGCTCTAGGATCTGTACACACACACACACACACACACACACACACACACACACACACACCCTGGAGTCAGTGGACTCAGGTTCCCAGGCCCTGAGTTAAAGCTGTAGCACCTGTACACACACACACACACACACACACACACACACACACACATACCCTGGAGTCAGTGGACTCAGGTTCCCAGGCCCTGAGTTAAAGCTCTAGGACCTGTACACACACACACACACACACCCTGGAGTCAGTGGAACACACACACACACACACACACACACACACACACACACACACATACACATTCAGGGGTAGCATCCAGGCCCTGAGTTCAAGCTCTAGGACCTGTGTACACACACACACACACACACACACACACACACACACATATTCAGGGGTAGCATCCAGGCCCTGAGTTAAAGCTCTAGGCCCTGTACACTCACACACGCACACACACATTCAGGGGTAGCATCCAGGCCCTGAGTTCAAGCTCTAGGACCTGTGTACACACACACACACATTCAGGGGTAGCATCCAGGCCCTGAGTTAAAGCTCTAGGACCTGTACACACACACACACACACACACACACACACACACACACCCTGGAGTCAGTGGAACACACACACACACACACACACCCTGGAGTCAGTGGAACACACACACACACACACACCCTGGAGTCAGTGGAACACACACACACATACACACACACACACACACACACACACACACACACACACCCTGGAGTCAGTGGACTCAGGTTCTTAAGTAGCAGCAAATGAGTAACCCCATCTGCCAGTCTGTCAGTCATGTTATAGCTTTTGTTTGCCATGGCTCATACCAAGCCCCATTTTCTCATTTTTGTTACCTTTGGAAGGTGAATATGTGACTTCTCTAAAGTTTAAGGAACTCAATTTCTTTGAGTAACTGGCATTTCAAAGCAAGACCCAAGAAAAAGTTTCCAGTCATTATCACTTAGGAGTCCTTGCCTAGATTTTGGCTTCATTAGGACAATCACCAGGGGTTTATAACTTGACAGGTCATCTGATCATCAAAACAGCTAAGTGACTAACAGGCCAGTGGTGTGTCTAGCATGGCTATGCTGGACAAAGGCATGATTTTTTTTGTGTCCTTTAAGATTTCATCATACTTAGGCTTGTGTTGTTCATTTCTGGAAATTTTCGAGTCATTAAATTGTGTGGGGAGGGGAGGGGAGGTACTGGGGCTTGAACTCAGGATCTGGGTGCTGTCCTTAAGCTTTTCTGCTCAAAACTAGCATGCTACCACTTTTGGCAATTTTGGTAGTTAAATGGAGGTAAGAATCTCAGGGCCTTTCCGGCTTGAGCTGGCTTTGAATCTCAGCCTCCTGGGTAGTAGGATTACTGGCTTGAGCCACTGGAGCCTGGCTTTCCATGTATTTTTTTTCTTTTTTTTTTTTTTTTCTTTCTTTTTTTTTTGTGGGTCATGGGGACTGAACTCTGGGCCTGGGCGCTGTCCCTGAGCTCTTCAGCTCAAGGCTAGAGCTCTACCACTTTTGCCACAGTGCTACTTCTGGCTTTTTCTGCTTATGTGGTGCTAGGGAATTGAACCCAGGGTCTCATGCATGAAAGGCAAGCCCTCTACCACTGAGCTTTCCAGCCCTCCATGTAGTATTTTTGAATGACAGATAACTGCAGGTTGAACCCAGCAAGGAAAGAGACATCACAAATGAATCTCCGCTAAACTATCCCCATAGCCTTTTCGCACTTACAGAGCTAAATTTTAAGACCAAACAGTATCCAGTTCATTCAAGTCCAATCTTCATTCTGATTAATCTGAAATGTTTTATTTTGCCATGATGGGAATCGAGCCCAAGTTTCCTGCATCCTAAATAAGCACTTTACCCCCATATTATAGCTCCAGCGGTTTTTAAAACCATTTCTTACACAGGCCATGACTTCTAAAATCCCATGTGAAGTCCCATCTGAGGATACCACCTTCCGTAGGAGCCGTGACAGCGCTTCTCAAACTACTGTGCACGAAACTATGGAACCAGCTTGTTAAACGTATTCTCAATACCTTTCTCTAGAGGTTAATTCAATGGTTCTAGGGAAAACCGGAGACGAGCGCACGAAGCTACTACCTCAGGTGAAGACGATCACTGAGTAGTGAGTGTCACTAAGTCCCAAGGCCTCCGAGGCTCTTTATCATGCACACACCTAGACCTACGAGGTCGGCGCTTTCACAGGCCTCCTTTCACAGGCCTCAGCAGGCGGCGCGCTTGCGCACAGCTCCTCCGGTCTTAGTGGCGGCCGCGCGCTGCACGCCGGGAACCTGTGGTCTCAGTGGAACCAGGGTAGGGGGAAGCGGTGCACTCCTGGCTCAACCCTCCCCAAGCGGTTCTTTTCGCTCCTATCCAGCCAACTCTCCTCCCCAGATGCTTAGTACCGACCTTCCCGGCTTGCATGTCGCACGTCGGGCCACCCCTCTTCCTGCTACGAAAGTTAGCGCTCGCGACTGAGGCTTAGGGAGATGCCGGAGAGAAAAGACTTTCGGGGTGGGTGGGCTTCGCTAGTTTCCGGCTGACTCCGCCCCACCCCGGGCGCTGCTGGGAGTTGTAGTTCCTCGAGGGATTCGGGTCTTCCGGTTCTCGCGTTCTTGGGTCCTCCCATTATGCTATGCGCCTCTGGCCGCCTTGTAGCGGCTCCGGCGTCCGCCACACTTCCCGCCCCGCCCGCGGGCAGCAGAGGGAACTACATCTCCCAGGGAACCCTGAACCGCCCTCGGGTGACCACTGGGGGGGGGGGGGGGGCTGGCCAGAGCTTGCGGGCCGGAGGGCGATTCTGAAGCAGGGGAGGACTCCTCGGACCATGGCGGGAGGCCTGGTCGGGTGCGAGCTGCGGGCTCGACAGGGCCGCTGCGGGCCTCAGGCTTCCAGGGCCGCAGTTCGGGACGTGGCCGCCGAGGCTGCAGCGCGAAGCCCCAAACCGCCTGCCCAGAGCTGGCGGCGCTTGGAGGCGGCCGGCCAGTGGGCCCTGCTGGCTCTGGTGACGCTGCTGTCCTTCGCCACCCGCTTCCACCGTCTGGACCAGCCGCCGCACATCTGGTGAGTGGAGCGCGGTGCTCGGCGGGCACCATGGCAACCAGGAGGAAGGACGCCTCCCTCTGATTGGCCTGAGGGCCTGGAGAGGGCGGGATTCACCGGAGGGGGCGGATTGTCTTGTTGGGGAAACTGAGGTTTTGGGTGGTTGATCTTCCAGCGAGGTCCTCTCCGTGGAATGGCTTTCCTTGGCCGAGCAATGGAACACTCAGGATCCGAAGAAGTAGTAGTGTCTTGCAGGTCATGCTCACGGTCTGACCTGGCTCTAAGTGTGTCTCTTAATGGTGCTTTGAACTTTCTGAAGAGAATTGGAAGTTCTTGGTTCAGAATTCCCCAAGACCTGAGATCCTCGTCTGCAGGACTTTTTCAGACATCAAATCGATTGGAAAATTCCTAACTATATACTTTCATCCTCTAGAACAAGGGCAGTTTGGGTGTCGGGGGCGGGGGTGGGGGGAGGTGAGGGATGCTGACAAGGATTTCTGAAAACAGAAATGCTTCTTTCTTGTGAGGAGAAAATTATTCTCTTGAAAGTGTTTGTATTATTTTGGTATGACACAAATGCTGCACTGAGGCTTGATCACATGTCATTAGCTTAGCTAAATTACTTTGTAACTTTAGTACCAGCTGGAAGGAAGGAGGGTTTCATACAATCTGAAAATAGGTTTTTTGTTTTGTTTTGTCTAGCCAATAAGTGATACCATGTTTTCTCAATATCACTGGGGAGAAAGTGTCAGAAATAGATCTTATTAGCCAGGCCTCAGTGGCTCCAGCCTGGCGCGGGAGACCATAAGACTTTTATCTCCAGTGAACCACAAAAAGCTCGACAAAGAGGTGTGGCTCAAGTGGTAGGGCTTTTACACCAGCCTTGAGTTGTGTGTGTGTGTGTGTGTGTGTGTGTGACACACAGACAGAACATATTGTTCAAAGTGAAACCAAGAAAATAAACTGTCAGTGTTTCCCTACTTAAAAATTAATAAGTTACCATGGAACTCCTGGGTTAGAGACAAAGGATTTCAGTGTGGTATTCACAGGATACCAAGTCCTACAGGGTGTTAAAGGTTTGAAATGGATGTTGAAATGGATGACTGCACACACAGTATGGATTCCATCCAGGCAAAGGAATGAGGATATACTGCTTAATCACAAAACAAACAGTAAGTCAGCCTACTCTGTCCAAGAGAGAGACATAGTCTCATCTCAGGGATGTGTGCTGCAAATGCAGCCCTGAGAAAAGATCCAGCTGTCTTACATTCTTGACACATTCTGCCCAGTTGTGTGGATGCATAAAGACATCGATGGAGGATTGTCTCTCCCACATGTCCTCTCATCCCTTGATTGTACACTGTCTTGGTTCCTAGTCGATTTTTATGTGAATTTGCAATTCCATTGGCTACTCTGATGGACTGAGGTAGTGACCAAGTCTGTTTAGTTGATCTCATAGCCTTAAATCAGGCTCCTATTAATGAGACAATATTTTCCCCATAATTTACTTCAACTCTCCCCTCCAAGGTCCTGAGCTTAGCTATTAATGAATGAAGTAAGGGGCCAGTGAATGTTAGTATCCCTTTGACTTATAAGTAAGAGTTTAGATCGACTGATCTTTGGTATTATTGACAATAATTATAACACCTCTTCCATGTAAAAAATATGTAACACCTATGTCTAATCGAAAGACATTGTATATATGCTGAGGAATCGAACCCAGGGCCTCATGCATGCAAGGCAAGCGCTCTACCACTGAGCCACCTTCCCAGGCCCTAATGTGTTTTCTTGTAGATTTATAGGCACACTCTAGTTACAACAAATGAGGCAAACTAGCCTATGTTTCTTTGAGTCTGGTTTACTTTGCTTAATATTTTTTCCAAGGCTTTCCTTTTAGGTCAGGAATTTTTGTTAAATTTTATTTCTATAGCCATTCAGTTTGGTTTAGATTATCATTACATTGCTTTGGTAAGCAACACTGTTGATGTTACTGAAGAGTTACAACCTCATTGTGCAATCATAAATCAAGGTTCCTCATACTTTAAGAGTATGTTAATATTTGGGAGTTGGTTTTGGTATCATCAAACACATTAGAGTAGTTGAAGACTGGCCACACCCCCACACCCGTATCAGTTTTCCTGTTTTGGAGCATGATCACAAACTCATCCCATGGGTCAGATCACCAGCATCAGCTACTGCATGACATAGGTGGAACATCTAGCCTTTTGCCAGGCTTTGGTGCTGGACTTAGGAGAAAAAAAGCACTATTTCCCTTCACTTTACTTACCTTCACTTCAGAGATCTAGGTGTTCTTAGTCCAGGTATTGAGATGGTTTCTTTCTTACCACTTTCACATAATTAATGCGTTACAGCCTAGTATAACCTGAAGTAATCTCCTTAGCTCTACCTTCCATATAGCTGGGATTCTGAGTGTGACCACCGTGCTGAGCTTGTCTGTACTTCTCTCCCTCTCTTCCCTCCTTTCCCTTCCCTCCCTCCCTCCCTCCCTCCCTTCCTCCCTCCCTTCCTCCCTCCCTTCCTTCCTTCCTTCCTTCCTTCCTTCCTTCCTTCCTTCCTTCCTTCCTTCCTTCCTTCCTTCCTTCCTTCCTTCCTTTCCTTCCTCCCTTCTTTCCTTCCTCCCTTTTCCTCCCCCTCCCACTTCTTCCCTAGATGGTGCTGGGGTTTAAATTCAGCCTAATGCTTGCAAGGCACTTGGACCACTCCTCAAGCCTTTTTTTTTGTTTTTGATAAGATCACTCATTCCCCTCCCCCCCCCCCCCCCCCCCCTGCTCCCAGGGCTGGCCTCAGACTGTGGTCATCCTGCCTATGTCTTCTATATGCTGGGATCACAGGGTGCACATCACCATGCCAAGTATTTGTTAAGATAGAATCTTGATTACCTGTTGTTGCCTGGGCTAGCCTCCAGTGGTGATCCTCTTGATCTGAATCTCCTATAGCTTGGATAATAAGTAGGCCACCATGCCCAGACATTGTTTTTAACTTAGCCTCCTCATCTGGCAAATTCTATGAATCATGGCCCCAGAGAGCCAGTGTCTGCTTCAGAGAATAGTGTGGAAAATAGTTTCTCCCCAAAGGACACTTGGAACTTTATGTAAAAATAGGACCCATGAGTATAAATATATATATATATATATATATATATAATTTTCACAGGATAGTGGAGCTTATTGAGCCTTCCTTCCCTTGTCAAATGTAAATTCCAAGTAACTTACCCAAAGTTGAAATGTTAAGCTGGAGTTCTGAGGCCTTTGTGTGTCAGGCACTCAATTTCAGTAAGTAGTAGGTTAATTAATAGCCTCTTCGAATGAATGAAAGAGTGTACTTAGTACAATTGTCCATCAGATGGCGCTACCCATCCAGTGACTATTAGCGTTCTAACTTTTAAGTATTTTCAGAGTTCTGATTTCTCTCTCCCTCTCTCTCTCTGTCTGTCTCTCTCTTTCTCTGTCTCTCTCTTGCTCTTGTTCACTCTTTTTCATAAGAAAAAAGTTTAACTCTACATACATTAACACTACAACTATTTCTTCCAGATCGGGTGATATGTACATTTCTTTCCTTTTGCTTAGTATCAGCTGTTCCCTCTTTCTCTTTCATTCTCTCCTTCCCATCACCACCCTTGAGTTGCTTAGTTCACTTTCATCAATATCCAGTCCAGCTGATGGGCCTCTTAGCTATATCTTTTCACCCGCTTTCCACTGTTGCCTTCCCTCCTTCCTTCAGCTGTGCACGTGTATGCACCATATATGAGAATAAAATAGAGAATACAGCGTCATCTTTGGGGTTATGATTTGGTGCTTTTCTCCTAAGACTCTCCTCTTTTGGTCTCATGCTGTGTGGGTATCTTTTTTTTGGGGGGAGGGGTCTGGTCGTGGGGCCTGAACTCTGGGCCTGGGCACTGTCCCTCAGCTTTTCAGCTCAAGGCTAGCGCTCTACCACTTGAGCCACAGTGCCACTTCCAGCTTTTTTCTTTTTGCTTATGTGGTGCTGAGGAATCGAACCCCGGGCCTCAGGCATGCAAGGCAAGCGCTCTACCACTGAGCCACCTTCCCAGCCCTGTATGGGTATCTTGAGTCCTGATTACTTTGTCATATCTCATTGCATTTTAAATCTAACATCCGCATATCTGGGAGACCATGCATCATTTGTGTCTCTGATCTTGCCTTATCTCAGTCAACATGATTTGTTCTGGTTCCATCCATTTCCCTGTGAATGCCATGATTTTATCCTTTCTAATGGCTGTGTAAAATTCCATTGTATATAGGTACTACATTTTTTGGATCCATTCATCTGAAGTCGGGGTTGTTTCTGTATATGGACTATTGTGAACAGTGCAGCAATAAAAATGGAAGTCTAGGTGTCTTTGTCATATCCTGGTTCCTGTTGCTCAGTGATTTCCCATTCTCTTTAAGGATATATTTCTTCTAGATTCCTAGGAGGGAACAGGATTACTTTCTCTACACACCAAAGTCCTGGAATAAGATAATGCTCTTTTTGTTGTTGTTGTTGAACATGGGGCTTGAACACTATCCCTGAGCTCTTCAGCCTAAGGCTAGTGCTCTGCCACTTGAGCCAGGGCACCACTTGCAGTTTTTTGGTGGCTAATTGGAGATGAGAGTCTCACAGACTTTCCTGCCTGGACTGGATTTGAACCCCGATTCTCAGCTTCCTGAGTAGCTAGGATCACAGGCGTGAGCCACCAGTGCCCAGCAAGATAATCCTCTTTGACACTGAGAGGATTGATACAAGCTATACATATATTCAGCAGTGGAAATCACAATAATACATTGAAGTGTCTCAAAGAGCCCTATCCACAAGATCAAACTCTGGCTCAAACTCTGTCAGTTGAATTGGAAGGCACATTTTTCCCCTTGAATTAATGTTTGATACACCTGTGTCACGGCCCATAGCTAAGCCATTTCCCAGTTGGAGAGAGTGCTGAAAGCAAGCATAGAAAGCTCTTTTTTTTTCCCTTTCCTTTTGCCCCCACTTTTCCCCCTTAAGGTCTTTCCCTATGCCTGGTGCGCCCCCTGGCTTAGAGACTTTTTCTTCAAGTCCTAATAATGGCTTGGAAACTCATGCCCCTACCAAATGCTCCCCCATGGGATGAGGTTGGGAACAGATATGGACCCCATATAGCAGAGCCCTTGAGTTAGTTTTTCTTCTCTTAGAGTTCCCTAGTATACTAGGAAGGGTGAACAGCCTTTAGTCTCCTTGGGGACAAAGACCTTGGCTCCACCTTTAATGACCTTGACCCCACCTTTAGTTAAGGTTTTAAGCAGCTGAGGTTATTGTAGAGATTGGGATCCAGGCTTGTACATAGAACTTACCCAAGAATCTTGCAGTATTTTCTTTTGTTGTTTGTTTTTGAGACAGGGTCTCACCTTGTAGCCCAGGCTGACCTCAAACTCATATGGTAGCCCAGGCTGGCCTCAAACTTGTGATCCTTCTGCCTCTGCCTCCTGAGTGCTGGAATTAAAGGAGTGCTTTCTATTTCTTTCTTTTTTTTTTTTAAATTTTATTTTATTTTATTTGAGAACATACTGTACAGAGGGGTTACAATTACATGGGCAGGATAATGCATACATTTCTTACCAAGCATTGCAGCCTCCTCCTTTGTTTACCCTTCACCTCCCTTCCCAGCCTTCCCCCTCCCCCCCCAATCCTTCCCCCCCTCCCCCCCTCTATTTATTTCTTAGGTTTAAACTCAAGGCCTAATGCTTGTTGGGCATATCCTATAACACTTGAGCCATGCTTGAGAACTTTTTTGCTTTAGTTGGTTTTTGAATAGGGTTTTGGATGTTTGTCCACCAGCCTGGACCATAATCCTTCCTATTTCTGCCTTTCACATTAGGTAGGATGACAGGGACATACCATTGAACCCAGCTAATAGATTGATGAGTTCTCACCAACTTTATCCCTATGCTGGCCTAAAAACTACAGTTGTTGTTGTTTTTGTTGTTGATGTTTTTGTTGTTGTTGTTTGACCAGCCAAGGGGCTTGAACTCAGTCTGGGAACTCTCCACGAGCTCTTTCATTCAAGGCTATTGCTCTACCACTTTGAGCCATAGTGCCACTTCTGGCTTTTTCGGTTTATGTGGTACTGAGGAATTGAACCCGGGCTTTATGCATGCTAGGCAAGCACTCTACCACTAAGCCACATTCCCAGTCCCATAAAAACTACATTCTTCCTGATCTTCACCTTCCAAGTGGGGATTATAGATGTGGGATTATATGCCTGGCTGAGTGTTCTTATTTTTATTGATTGAATAGCAGGGTTCTCATTGTTGCACAATTTGTTTGGAGATTCTTGATTCAGCATCCATCTGCATATTGCCTTTGACCAGGGCTGCTATACTTCCTATTCCTATGTTGTGATCAAATCTCTTATTCCTTTTTTCCAGGCACCAAATAGGCAGCCGTACTCCTTTCTATTCATCATCTGCTTGTGTGTTTGTGCGCACGCGTGCACGCGCACCAGTGCTGAAACTTGAATTCAAGACTGTCTGCTCTTCACTTTTTCATTCAAGGCTGGTATTCTACCACTTGGGCTACATACACCTCTATTTCTGTTTTTTTTTTGCTTTTTTTTCTGAGCCTGATATGTCTGCCAGGGGTGGCTTTGAACCTTGAGCCTTGAATCTTAGCCTTCTGAGTAGCTAGGATTACAGATATGAGTCATCAGTACCTGGCATCCATCCATCTAGTCAGTGGGAACTTTGATTACTCCCCTGACTGCCACTTGGATAAGAATGTTAACTCCAGGCTCTATGGCATCTTCTCAGCTTGTGCGTGCTCTCATCCTTTCTCTTTCAGAAGCTATGGTCATCATTCTATACTTCTTTCTCAAATTGACAGGGTCTAGAATTTTTTTTAGTCTACTTGCAAACTAAGAAGTTAACCTGTCAGTGTTTCATCTATGCCAGCAGAAGACAAAGAGCTAAGTGAAAGACCAAAGGCATTATTTCTATTGGCACAGCAGAGAGGATGAGCACCAGCATGTCCTCATTGGTGCCCCAGAGTCCCATGCAGTGCTGTGGTATACATGTATGCTTGGGTTATATCACAGCTTAGGAATATCAAGCTTTTAGATCTACTTGCAAAATAAATGAGCATAGGCTTAAGATACATTCATTTAGTAAGAAAACAATTTTTTTTCCAGTCCCAGGGCTTAAACTCAGGGCCTGGGCACTGTCCCAGAGCTTCTTTGCTTAAGGCTTACACTCTACCACTTGAGCCACAGGGCCATTTTCAGCTTTTTCTGTTTATGGGGTACTGAGAAATCGAACCCAAGACTTCATACAAGCTAGGCAAGCACTCTACCACTAAGCCACATTCCCAGACCAAAACCCTTGACCCCGGTCATGGGTCCTGAACTCTGGGCTTGGGGCACTGTTCCTCAGCTCTTCAGCTCAAGGTTAGTGCTTTATCACTTGAGTCACAGTGCCACTTCCGGCTTTTTCTGCTTATGTGGTGCTGAGGAATCGAACCCAGAGCCTCATGCATGCAAGGCAAGCACTCTACCACTGAGCCACCTTCCCAGTCCCAACCCTTGATTTTTATATACTAGTTATTTTAATACCATTAGTCAAATGGTAGGAGGTTGATAAGCAGAATCAAATTCCTATGACCAAAGGCTTAAAAGTTCTCTTAAAAGTTTCTAACTATGGGGCTGGGAAGGTGGCTCAGTGGTAGAGCGCTTGCCTTGCATGCCTGAGGCCCTGGGTTTGATTCCCCAGCACCACATAAGCAAAAAGAAAAAAAGCCGGAAGTGGCACTGTGGCTCAAGTGGTAGAGCACTAGCCTTGAGCTGAAGAGCTGAGGGACAGCGCCCAGGCCCAGAGTTCAGGCCCCATGACTGACCCAAAATAAATAAATAAATAAAAATAAAATAAACCTATTATTAAAAAAAAAAGTTTCTAACTCTGTAGTGATGTACATTCTAATTACAAACTTGGACTCAGAAGTTAACAGACTTAAAGCTGGGCCCCAGTGTCTCATGCCTGTAATCCTAGCTTCTCAGGAGGCTGAGATCTGAGGATCACAGTTCAAAGCCAACCTGGGCAGAAAAGTCCCTGTGAAACACTTATCTCCAATTAACTACTCAAAAACTGGAAGTGGCACTGAGGCTCCAGTGGTAGAGTGCTAGCCTTGAGTACAAAGAGGCTCAGGGATAGCGCCCAGGCCCTGAGTTCAAACCTCACAACTGACAGAAAAGAAGAAAAAAAAAGAAGAAGAAGAAATTAACAGACTCAGAAGAAAACTCTTCAAACCTTTCCATGTTACAGGAAAACTCTGTCCTTCTAAAACAAATAGAAATACAAGATATAGAATTAGTATATATTTAACTTCAATTTATGGCAACTGGTTGGTAAATTTTAATAATCTTTCCCATCTGTCTGAATGAGGGTTAATAACCAGCTTAATTTTCTGCCTCCTCAAACTACTTGAATAAAGTTATTTTTATTTTTCATTCCAGACTTTCTCATTAATTGCTTGAAACATGTAGCCTTTAGTTTTCAACTATAATTTTAACTATGATATCCTTTTGTTTTTTTCTTTAGTTGGGATGAGACTCACTTTGGAAAAATGGGAAGTTACTATATCAACCGCACCTTTTTCTTTGATGTGCACCCACCTCTGGGAAAGGTGAGCAGCCTTCTCATCTGGGAAGATGGGTCCTAAGTCCTGGAGCCAGGTCTTGGTTTTGGACTTAATTTTTGCATTTAAGAATTCCCTAACACGATTTAGACATTTCAGACCTGCTACCTTTATAGAAATCCTTGGTATAAATGGCCTTCTGAGCTGAAAAGTGGAGAGAGGGTCTATCGACTGATAGAAGGATAAATGTGTTATACCATACAATGAAATATTATTCAGCTATAAAAAGAATGGAGTTCTGATACATGCTACAGCATGGGTGAATCTTCATAATAGTACCCTAAATGTTAGAAGACAGACATAAAAGGTTGCAAGTTATATGACTGAAATATCAAGAATTGGATATTTCATTGCCTAGGTCTGAGGTGGAGAGAGAAGATTAGAGAGGGACTGCAAATAGTTTTTTGTTTGTTTGTTTGTTTGTTTTGTCGTTCTTGGAGCTTGAACTCTGGGCCTGAGTGCTGTCCTTCAGCTCTTCAGCTCAAGGTGAGTACTCTACCACTTGAGCCACAGCACCACTTCCAGTTTTCTGGTGGTTAATTGGAGATAAGAATTTCATGGCTTTTCCTGCCCAGGCTGGCTTTGAACTGTGATCCTCAGATCTCAGCCTCCTGAGTAGCTAGGATTACAGGCATGAGCCACCAGCGCCCAGCTAGGTTTTTTTTGAATGGTGTATTTTATCTCTTATAAGCTTAATCTCAAGTTTTCAAAATAAAACAGAAAAGCGAGACTGTATTGCATGAAACAGGCAGCATGGGGGTGGGGGGAGTTGAGGGTCCATACAGATACTGAGCTGCTTTCTCCACTTCGTTCAGCTTCTGCTCCTCCTTCATGTTTAGCAATTCTACCAATTAGAATTCATTCTACTCTTTTAAAACTATCATCTTTGAGAAGATGAATAGATTAGTACCATTCAAGCCTTTCTTCCTAACTGGAGGCTTAGGTCTTTGGCACAAAGACCTGTACAAAGGGACAGGTGATGGGGTGGGAAGTGATCCTGGCGCCCTTGGGAAGGGGAGACAGGCTTAGTGATCTGAGTCAGGTTGCAAGGGAGTGAGGACATGGGCTGGGACCAGGAGAAAGTCCCTGCAGGTAGGAGGGATATAGAAAAAGGTAGGACAACTAGCCTGTTTTGAGATTGATTCTGAAGTGATGAAAGGGTAGACATGTTCATGCCTCTTTCCATACAATAAAGAGAAGACCAGTGATGCATTGGTTCATGTAAATGTCAGAACAAACTGATAAGCATGCAATGTTGTACATGCAAAGTATTTTGTACTTATGAGATATGTTGCAGATGGGGAAAATGGTATTTTCTTCTTCCCTCTGTTGAAATGCCTCTGTCTTTGCATTACTCTTTCTCCTTTTCTTTTCCTTCCTCATATTCCTGGTGTATAGCTACTTTGTCACTTGGCACTCTGTTTATGTCATTTATTTGGAACTTCATTCTCTGTCCAGCAGGCTCATCATCCAGCAATCAGCATCTGCCCAGGACCTCTCTCAAAGTCAAGTTTTATTTCAGAACAAGTGAAAAAAGGCTTAGAGAGCTCTCACTGACTCTGCCTTTCAAGTTGTGGTTCTTCCCCCCTCCTAAGTGTCTGTACTATTCCCAAGAACTTAACCATAACACAGAGTGGGTTTGTTTCAAGCAATGAGCACTATAGACAAAGGTTCTTTACTAGGCAGCAGCTGCAGGAGAAAATGTCACATTGGCCACTCCTTCTGTGCACAGTTGTCAAGGGAAACCGAAGTCTGTGGGTGCAGCTGGAGGGACTCTTCTCCCAAAGGTTTCTCATCTTTCTGTTTGTTCTTCTCTGTACAGATGCTGATAGGTCTTGCTGGCTACCTGAGTGGATATGATGGTACCTTTTTGTTCCAGAAGCCTGGAGACAAATATGAGCATCACAACTACATGGGAATGAGAGGAGTAAGACATCCTGATATGTACAGATGGACTGTATCCTGGGTCACATTCTGTGAGAAATTGGAAGCCCTGGTATATCAGTGTAGATAAAGACACTTCAATAGGGAGAAGGTCATGAACTGAAGCTCTCAGAGAAGTTTGCATTCACCAGCCCCCTTGAGGATCTGAAAGTATTTTAGATATATGACTGTGCTTATTTGAACAATCATTGTATGCTTTGTATAATTATATCAAAACATATTTCATTATTATTATTACATATCAAGCCATATTAAACAAGGAGTATTTACTCTCAAGTTCATATCCTTGAGTAATTCTGTGTTTTCTTAAAGGCTCTTGAATACCACATAACAAGCATAATTGAATGTAGACCTATTCACTGTGGACTTACTATGGAAATGGAGAAGGTTGAATACAACATCCCCATTCATTCCCTTTCATACTAGGGCACATTGCTCTCTGCTTATCCCAAATGTAAGAATCCCCCTAGGCTTTTCTGTTTACTGATGATAGGCAAGGGACCAGGGAGCCTATATTATCTTCAGAGTAAACCTATGAGGTAGGAGTTCACTGTGATTACATGGATGGAGAAGCTAAGGAAGAGATGACTGTCAGAATCATAGCTAGCAGTGATGGGGTGGTCCTGCCACCTTCTTGGCTAAATTTCACTGGTAGCATGCCAGCATACATCTGTATCATGACTCTTTGGGAACATACATATTGTTTGATTTGATTCTTCACATTTCCACCATCCCTTGCTTATTTTAGGTAATGCCTTCTTCAGGGTCCTCTATCTTAAGCATTAGTTTACCAGGTCAAGTAGGTCCCTGATGCTTAGCATAGCTTGCTAGCATAACTTGCTGTAACAGCTTTTTTTTAAAATGTTCTTTGTTGGTTGTGGAGCTTGAACTCAAAATCTAGATGCTGTCATTGAGCCTCTTTGTGCTCAAGACTAGCACTCTACCACTTGAGCCACAGTGCCACTTTTGATTTTTGAGTGGTTAATTGGAGATAAGAGTCTTACAGGGACTTTTCTCCACAGGTTGGCTTTGAACTGCAATCCTCAGATCTTAGCTTCCTGAATAGTGAGGATTTCAGGCATTATCCACCAGTGCCTGACTGTAACAGCTTCTTTGTTGCTTCCCATATAGTTCTGTGCATTCCTTGGCTCCTGGCTGATTCCCTTTGCCTACCTCACAGTCTTGGATCTGTCCAAGTCCCTCCCAGCAGCACTGCTCACTGCCGCCCTTCTTACCTTTGGTAAGTTGTCTGGAAATAGATACATTTGTGCCATTTTAACTTTAAGATGGAGTAAAATGTATAGCCAATCTCATTTTATTTATTACTAATGCATACATATGTGAATACTTCTGCATAGCAAGCCTTTGTATTATTAGAGATGAGAGTTGGCATGAATTATCCTAAGGAGTAGACTCTGAGTTACTCACACTTGAGTTTGGAATCGATAATAAGATAAGTTTTATGTAGGTTTGAAGGAAGCCACGGTTTTAACTTTTTAAATTTTTTAAAGTTACTATTAACATTAATTTGTCTTCCCCAAACTTAAACTGAATGCAAAGGCAGATGTTCCAGGAATAGTTGTATAGTAGGAAATAGTAATGTGAACTTAAATATCTCACTTGGATAAGTGAGAGTTGGTTATATTATTTGCTAGCGTTGTTCTGAAACTGGATTCATGACCTCATATAGCTTAACATTTAAAGTTGCCCAGACTTGGTTAGGTGTGCACACTAGTTTTCACAAATATGTTGCTTTGTTTTGGTGGCTAGATTGCACGAGTGCGTAGGATATCCCTGTGGGGGACTGGTGGCTTCTTCATTGTGTTTTTAATTTCTCTGTTACTCATGTGGTCGTTTCTTCAGTTTTCACCCAGCACCTATTTCATAGATAGGGATGCTGATGTGCAAGAAGTCATTTGCAATATGTAAAACTGAGAAGTGACTTAGAAGTTTTGTTTTAGTTCATTTTGTTTTTTAATAGTACTAGGGTTTGAACTTGGGGCCTCAAGCTTCCTAGGCCTATGGTTCTCTTTCTAGATTCCACTGGAACCATACCTCCAGCCCTTTTTCACTTTATTATTTTTGTTTGTTTGTTTGTTTTTTGGGGTCCGGTCATGGGGCCTGAACTCTGGGCCTGGATGCTGTCCCTCAGCTCTTCAGCTCAAGGCTAGTGCTCTACCACTTGAGCCACAGCGCCACTTCCGGCTTTTTTCTTTTTGCTTATGTGGTGCTGAGGAATCGAACCCAGGGCCTCTGGCATGCAAGGCATGCGCTCTACCACTGAGCCACCTTCCCAGTCCCATCACTTTATTTTTTTTTGATAGAGTCTTATATTTCTACACAAAGCATGCCTTAGACTACAGTTCTCCTATCTACACTTTCCATGTAGCTAAGATTACAGGCATATAGTTAGACCCATGCTGGGCTTAACTAAGATTTTGACCAGGCTGGCCTTTAACCATTCTGATTTCTGTCTCTTGTGGAATGGGGTTACTCTCAAACCTGTTTCTTAAGTTCCTGCACTATACTGAGCTACTTTTCATGGTCTCAGAGAATATACTAATTAGACTGCTCTCATGGAACTTGCCCTGTACCGAGGCAGACAACATCAAGAAGTCTATATTGTAGCATCTTAAGCAGTAAATGTACTGTGGAAAATAGAGTAAGTAAGGTGAGCAGTGAGGAACTCTGTGGGAGGAAGCTTTGGTGGGAGGCTGAGTGAAAAGATTCCACTATACAGAGTTTTTCTCTATACAGAATGTGTTTTCCTTCCTTCCTTCCTTCCTTCTTTCCTTCCTTCCTTCCTTCCTTCTTTCCTTCCTTCCTTCCTTCCTACCTTCCTTCCTTCCTTCCTTCGTCTCTTCCTTCCTTTGTCCCTCCTTCCCTCTCTTCTTCCCTCCCTCCTTTCCTTCCTTCCTTCTTTCCTTTCTCTCTCTCTCTCTCTCTCTCTCTCTCTCTCTCTCTCTCTCTCTCTCTCTCTCTTTCTGTTTTGTGTGCTGGTATAGGGTGTAAACTTAGGGCCTTGCACTTTTACTTTGCTCATGCCTGGGTCCTGCTCTACCACTTGAGTCATGCCTCTAGTTCTGACTTTTTGATGATTATTTGGAGATAATAGTCTCTAGGATTTATCTTCCTGGACTGGCTCTAAACTGCAATTCCTATATCTCAGCCAATAGTACCTGGCTAGCCATGCAGTGTTCTTAAGGAAGAGTATTGAGACAGAGGGAGCAGCCTGTGTTGTAGTCCTCATACAAAGTTTAACAAGGCCAAGGAACAAGTGTAGAAGTTCATATTGTAAGGGTAGAGTGAGGCAGAGAGGTGGGAGTTGAGGTTGGATAGATAAGAAAGCCATGCAGGCTTTTGCATCCTTCAGAGAATTTGTTAGTCTGAATAAGATAGGAAAACACTAAACTATGTAGGAACATAGTTTAAGGAGATTTAAGTAAAAAAAAGTCTTCTCATACCTATATGAAGAATTGTCCCCCAGCAGCGACTTCATATGAAATGATCAGATGCTATCAGAGCCATCTGTAATTTGTGGCCACCTAAGTATAATTTGTGACCTATTTTTTTGATGGTGGAAATGAAGAGACAGGTGTCAGGGCTGCTCTGCTTACAGGGCATCACTTGGAGGTGAGGGAGAGGGCAGTGACAAATGCTGCTTCTCGTCATTGGCTGTAATGTTGTGCCTCTCAATGACTCAGGACAGAGGCTATGCAGTGTGGCAAGGTGACTGTCCATCTGCTAGAGGTTTGGTTTTTAGGGTTTCTTTCTTCACTCTGCACATTGACCAGTGAGCTCATGTTTTTCAGACACAGGATGCCTCACTCTATCCCAGTACATCCTCCTTGACCCCATCCTGATGTTCTTCATCATGGCTGCCATGCTGAGCATGGTCAAGTACAACTCCTGTGCGGACAGGTCAGAATACCATGTTTGGGTGGGGAGGGCCAGAATCTCTGGCAGCCCCAGAAGTTTTCTAAAGGCCGGGGTGGGCTGGGGTGGGGGTATAGAGGACTTGTCTTGAAACTGAGTTTAAGACAAGCATACTTCTCATTTGTTGGTTTGTAAACTTCTATTTTTGATAGTAACAAATAAATTTAAAATATTTTCTTTAAGATGGTTTTAGTTCTGCTTTACATAAGACTGCAAAAATTATCTTTTTAAAGAGGATTGCTATTGTCATGTTTATAATGGGTTAGGAGTTTGTGGAGGGATCCTAATGTTTTTTTCTCACCCGTAACTTATAAGCTTCCCCTTCAGCCCTAGTGTTGGTTAAGAGATTGGGACAATTTTTCCTTCACACTCTACACTGGAGGGATGGCAGATGGTGCCTCAGAACTGTTTGTCTCCCTGCTTCAAGGGTTACATCAGGTCCTGATGGAATGATGAATGATCCTTACCAGCCAAGAGGATCCTTCCAGGTCCTGGTCAGTTCTAAAGCTGATTTAGAAGATCTGGTCTTCCAGAGGTTTTTTTTCTGTCCTGTCTCTGAGAGAGTAAAGAAGGCCTTCTTCATTGAATTCATTGTATTCAAACCAAAAGAGCTGGTTCCTCCCAGGCTTTCCCAGTAGACCACATGGTACCACTGATGGCCAAGCTGATTAAGCTACATTTTGCTAATCATACCTGAGCCAATGAGTCCACTCTGGTTTGGGGTTTTCTGCTTCTACCACATCCATTTCCACCTACCATTTCTTGAATACATGCTATGTGCCAGGTACTGTGATAGGTATGAAGGTGCAAAAGTGTGTAGGGTATTGGCTTTAAGGTACACTCATTCTGGTGGAGGAGAGAGGAAGATCATCAGAAAATTGGCTGCAGTGTACTAGGTGCTTTTACTACAGCAAAAGGATTCCTAGTATTAACCATGGAGTTAGCCTAGGTTAGAACTCTGTTCCACTGCTTCATAGCTGTATCACTTAACCTCTCTGTACCTCAGTTTCCTCATGTGTGAAAAGAGGATAATAGACCTCATGGGGTTGTAATGAGGATTAGAAAAGTTTGTGAGGGATGGGATAGTGCCTGACACATAGTAAGCACTCAATAAATGCTGACTTTGGCAGATCCAGAAGTGACCTCAATCAACAGGCTTCTCTAGTTTTTCCTTTTGCTTCTACTTGATTGATCACTAGTGAAGCATGGGCTTCCTTTTTGTTGTAGTCCTTGTATTTAGTCAGGAGTTACATGCTCTTTCTCCATGGAAAAATATCCTCTCATACTGGTTTACCTGTAAGTCGCGGGGTTCTCAGACCACATCCTCCTTGGAGCTGTCTTTGGTCCCCTGAGGTTAGGACCTCCAAGGCACAGGGGAAAGCACAGCCTCTGAGTCAGGGGACTCGGCCCTTCCACTGCTGCTCTTGCTTTCAAGTTTGATGCTAGCTGCCAAACTGAACTCTGTGTCTTGTTGATTTTCAGGCCTTTCTCTGCCCCCTGGTGGTTCTGGCTCAGCCTGACTGGCATCAGTCTTGCTGGTGCTATAGGGGTCAAGTTTGTTGGCCTCTTTATCATCGTGCATGTGGGATTGAACACCATTTCAGACCTTTGGCACCTGTTTGGAGACCTCAGTCTTTCACTGGTGAGAACCCAAGTTCTGGGAAGTGTCTCTGATCCCTGGTGTTGCTTAGCAGCAATCACTGGCCTTTCTCTTCCTCTAGACAGGCTGGGTCTGGCTGCTCTCTGTAGACAGCAGGCCGTGAGAGTGGCCTGAGGAGTGGAAAGGTCTAAAGGGAGTGAATAGACTGACAACCTTGGAATTCTCTTTTGGTTTTGTGTGTGTGTGTGTTATAAATGTTTTACAAACTGCCCAGCCATGGGATCCTGTCCAGCTAGGTTCATGCCAAGTGTGTGGCAGACACTGAGTGTCTAAGACCTTAGCTAAAATGGATATAAGATGACTTTCAGAACTCAGATTGCCTTTTATTTACCCAGGATCTCAATAAGTACTGTTAAGGTTTATTATAATATTGTTAATTATTAAGGGCTGCTTTGGTGCCAGGTACTATGTAAAGTGCTTTCCTTCATTATCTTATTTACCCCTTGTAATAATTCTATGATGTAAGTGGTATTGCCCAGATTTTACAGATGGGGAAATTGAGGCATAGAGAATAACTTTCCCAAGGCCTTGTAGGTACTAATAACTCATATGTAGGCTAGGCTGCCTCCAGACCTCCTCTACTTTGCTCTGGTACCTCTTTATCACCTCCAAAGCAAATTTCCAACACATTGATTCATTCAAAAATATTATATGGAAGTCATTCACTTCATGTGTGGTACTAGGTCTATAGAATAAATAAACAATATCCCTGCCCTCTGGAGTCCATAAAGAGGAAAGGAAGAATGAAGTTAGAATCCAGCATATGGAGCAGCTGGCCATGTGATGGAAGGGCTGGCGCAGAGTGGGGAGTGTTGGGCCTAGGTGGGCTGGACCTGGCTGCCTTCTGTAGACAGCAGGATGCTAGGGCATGGCCTGACTGAGGAGGTGGAGAGGTATAAAGGGAGAGGATGGACTAACAGTGTTGGAATTCTCTTGGTATTGGGAGTTCATAGTGACTGGCATGAGAGGGTACTTGTGAGCAGCAGCTGCATCTTCTTCACAGCACCATCACAGTCCCTAGTCCTAGTGCAGGGCCTAGAGGGACAGCAGATGGCCAGTCCATGTTGTCCCTGTACAGTTCTTTGGCGGGAGATAGGGGTTACAGAAAAAATAAAGTTTCCACATATTTGTTTTTCCTGTTGGCCCTTAAAAAATGTATGTATGTATGTGTACAAACATACATACATATTATAAACATATATATGTATACATAGATATATATACATGTATACATATATATGTATATATACATATATAAACATGTTTATTAATCTTACATATAACACCATAGAAGGTATAAGGAATAGTGGAGTTTTTTATGCCTACTGTCTGCTGGCCTCTATTTGCAGGTAACTGTGGGAAAACACTTGACTGCTCGAATCCTGTGTCTCATAGTGCTGCCCCTGGTGCTCTATGTGGCCATTTTTGCTGTTCATATCACTGTGCTGAATAAAAGGTACAGCCAGAGACTTTTTAGCCTCTCATTTCTGATCGTCCTTTGGCTCCTGAGCCCATAGGGTGGCCATGTGATTTCCTGGGTCTATGGTTAGGATGCAAGGGGGAACTTTTACCTGTTTCCCTTTCTTGTGTTCTGTAGTTTGGGTATCTCAAGGGCTTAGAAAGGCCAACACTGTGGCCTGAAGGAAAAGAAGACTTGCCTATTAACCCCCTCTCTCTGATCAGAGTCCCTTGTCCCTAGCAAGATAGATACCACAAGAATGTACAGTAGAACCAAGGGTAATGATAACCATAACAGCAGCAGCAAAGCAGCAGCAGCAGCAACAGCTCTTAATGGAGAGCTGCTAAGGGACTGGGTTTAGCACTTTATATACAAGATATAATTTAATCACAATCATTTGTGAATTCTTTTGGTTTTAAAAATTCTTTTAGTTTGTAAACAAGGAATGGAGGCTAAACAAAGTTAGGAACATTGTCCAAATCACCCAGCTAGGAAGTGGCTGGACTGGGGTCTGGACCCAGTTTTTCCACCTCCATCACTCATGTCTATCTTGTGATACCACACTCTAATTCTGGTTGTTCTTTTAAATAAATGGAGTCTCCCTGGGAAATGTCATCTTTTACTCTGTTAACTTGACTCTCTCCTGGTCCTTTATCTACAGTGGTCCTGGTGATGGCTTCTTCAGTTCTGCCTTCCAGGCCCGGCTCACAGGGAACAACCTTCACAATGCTTCCATCCCTGAACGTGAGTGTTCTAGGCCTTTCTACAGGTCCAAGGGCAGAGGGTTTTCCTGGGCGTTGATTTGGAAAAGGCAACTCTGATACTTGAGTTATTTTAGTGGATAGATGGTGGAGCAGGAGGAAGACTAGAAATGTGGTAAAAATCCTCAGGGTCGGTCATGACAGGACAGAGGAGGGTGTCCTAAGCAGCAAGCTTTGTGACCTAAAGAGTAGTTTCTGTGTGGCTGTCAAAGTCAGTTCTGTGGGAGATCTGTTGAGAGATCCTGGTGGCAGAGCATGGCCCTTTAGCTTCTACCAGTGTTCTGAGACCCTATCCATATGCTTATTCACAGTAATTAGTGTGTGTTCACTGTCCAGAAACATTCTGGTTTAGAGAATCTCAACACAGCATGGCCATATGTATTAAGTACATAAAAGGGAACACAGATTAAAGGGCTCTGGGTGGCTGGGGAGGAGGGGTCAGAAGTGCATGGAGTAAGTTTGCCTGGGAGTTGTGCCCTGGAAGTCCAGGTAGATTTCAGTAGGCAGAGATGGGGGAGAGATCATATCTGGCAGAAGGGATGGCTTGATAAAGCTGAGGAAAGAGCAGAACTTGAGACAATTACTATATACAGAAGGGTATTAGAATCTTAAGTCTCAAAAGATAGTTTGGGCACTGATGAGTTATGGAGGTATTAGAGACCTGGTGGAGGTCTCTGAGCAGGCAGGCAAGCCTGGAAGGTTGTATAGTAGGAAGATAGTATCGCTGGAGAATGGCTGTGGAGACCAGATTGGGGGCAGGCAAATAGTGGAAAGTTGATTTTAATAGTCTATCTTTGTATCTTGGATAATGTTCCAGACAATGACAAAATGCTTCTTCCATCTCTATTCCATGGATACATATATAGACCTTCACTGGAAGACATCCTGTTTTTTTCTAATCTTTTCCTGTTACAATAGTGCTTTGATAACCAGTGTTAACACCAGCATCTTCTGAAGTCCTCAGGAGAAAGTGGAGAGGATAAGTAGGGAGTGCCCTCTTGATTTGGTCACATAGTTGGAGAAGGCTACTCTACCTCCTGCTGCTTCAAGCAGTCCTTGACCAGTGGCATTTGAGAGAGTTGCTAGGCCTGTGGCTTCAGAGGGCCCTCCCAGGCAGGGGCAGCCTATATAGTTCTGTGCTCACTCTTTTGTTGTGTCTCCCTCTAGACCTGGCCTATGGCTCTGTGATCACTGTCAAGAACCTCCGGATGGCCATCGGCTACCTGCACTCCCATAGGCACCTATACCCTGAGGGCATTGGAGCCCACCAGCAGCAAGTCAGTGAGCTTTTGTGCCCTTGCACTGTGCAGGGAGGAGGGCCAGTGAGCGAACGCCAAGGTCACCGACACTAAGGCAGTGTTTAAAAATGTGATGAGTGGAGCCAGAAGCAGACATCAATGAGGAAGGAGAAGGCATGGAGTAGAATGCTAAGGAGAGAGGGACTCCAGGAGGAGATGGTCAGCATTTAGGTGCTGTGGCGAGGCAGAGGGGCCTGTAACTGACAAGAGTGTTTTCAGTAGAGAAGGGCAGTAGAAGTCTCAGATGCAGTGTCGTAAGGAGCAAATAGGAGGCAAGGAAGGAGAGGCTGTGGTGCAGGCTGTTACTGCAAGAAGTCTACAAGAGAAATTTTCTCTTTCCAAAATGAACTGGTTGCCTGTGGCTCATACCTATACTCCCAGCTACTCAGGAATCTGAGACCTGTAGGATTGCAATGCAAAGCCAGCCTGGTCAAAAAAACAAACAACACCTGTGAGACTCCATCTCCAGTTAACCAGAAAAATGCCAGACTGAAAGCATGGTTCAAGTGGCAGAGCCTCAGCTGAGAGCAAGATAGCCAAGCAAGAGAACAACAAAGCTCTTGAGTTCAAGTCCCATTTCTGGTGTGTGCACGTGCGCGCGCGCACACACACACACACACACAATTAATATCTTCACTTTGCCAAAAGGTTTTCTTCTCAAAATGCTTTATTTTTTAGGAACTAAAAAGTGACCTGGGGTATTAGGTTTTAGTGTCAGTTCCTCATGCTTGATTCTCTACTGATCTCTAGCCCAGTGGAGCTGAGTCTTGGCTACACTTTAGAAAGCTTTTACAAAATTCTCACACTTGGTCCCCACTGCAGAAATCCTGATTAACTGATCTAGGGTGGAGCCCAGGCAGTGTGTATTTCTGTTTTAAGCTCTCCAGTTTACTCTAAGTACAGTGAGGGAAGAAACCACAGGTATGATGTAGAAGGTAGTGAAGTTACATGTGCCGTGTCCAAGAGCATCTACCCTGTACAAACAGAGAAAAGCCAAATTCTGAATGACCCTGCCAAGCAGGTGTTATACACTGGTAGCCCGTGTGTGCAAGTGTGAAGCTAATGGTAGTGTGAAAGAGCACAGTGGGTCAGAAACAGAAGTGCCTTAGGCTTTGCTGAATTACTAGCTCTTCTTAGCCTTTCTCTTCATCTGTAAGTTGAAGGGATTGGACTAAACTTCTAGTTTCCCTCCCTGCCTTGGAGTTTAATGCCTTGCTAATAAAGTCTGGAGGTCTCAGATTTTACATGTTTTAAATGTATAACATTTCTTATATTTTTAATTTGAAGTCAAATGTATAATATTTCTAAATTAAAGTTAAAAAGCATGGGAAATTATGAAAAAGGAAATGGTGGGGCTAGGAAGGTGGCTCAGTGGTAGAGTGCTTGCCTTGCATGCATGAGGCCCTGGGTTCGATTCCTCAGCACCACATACACAGAAAAAGGCAGAAGTGGGTGCTGTGACTCAGGTGGTAGAGCACTGTCCTTGAGCTGAAGAGCTCAGGGACAGTGCCCAGAGCTAGAATTCAAGCTCCACGGCCAGTAAAAAACTAAAACGAAAAGGAAATGGTATACATAACCCCAGAAGAGCTGTTTTTCCAAATACTTTGCTGTGCAACAAGCATCTTGCTATAATTGGATACCTGTATCCTGTGTTCCTAGGAAACCTCATGCTATTACAAAGAACAAAGCAAAGCAACTCCGCTGTAAAAACTAACATTTCTTCTGGGTGCCAGTGATTCATGCTTATAATTTTAGGTACTCAGGAGGTTAAGATCTGATCTGCCAGCCTGGGCAGGAATGTCCATGAGACTCTTTCTCTCCAATTAACCACCCAATAGCCAAAACTGGAGCTGTGGCTCAAGTGGTAGAGTGCTATCTTTGAGCAAAAAAGCTCAAGGATAGGCCCTGGCACCCAGTTTCATCCCCAGTGCATGCACACATATGTACCACCACCAAGAAAAAACAAAAACCCCACAATAGTAGGAAAGGGGGCCAGAGACTATACTCACAAAATAAAAATAAAAATTTAATAATTTTTAAAATTAATAATGGCTTTAAAAAAGACAAAAAACACTTTCTTGCCACATATAGCCAGTGTCATCATGTATGAGTCACATAGAGCAGTACCATTCATGAGCAGATCCAAGGTGATAAAATATATCTGGAGGGTTTTTTTTTTAATAATATAGACTTCATTTTTATTTCTCCCTGACTGCCAAAACTTTTTAACATTTTATCTGTTCTTAATATCATTTTTTTCTGAGAGAGCAGAAGCCACTCAAACAAAAGGGCCATAATAATCCATGCAAAATTGTTTTATGTCCAATTAGGGTTATAAAAACTCCCAAGAAATGCCTGTACTTTCATTGCTTTTAGCTCCTTCTGTACTTGCTTCACAATTGGCATAGTCATACTAAGTCCCTAGCTTGGGAGCATTTGGAGTTGGCTGTCCTGGTTGAAATCCTGTCTCACCAATTTATAACATAGGCTGTATGGTCCTGAGCAAATTACTTATCCTGGGCCCTTGAAAGTAATATGGGGGAAACAGTAGCACCTTCATCCTGGAGCTGTAATAATGACTAAACTGGCTAAGACTTGCTAGTACTATTAATAGAGCCTTCTCAACATTTCACAAGCCTTTTCCCATGCTGCCAAAAAAAAGCTCTAAATCATTGTGGCTGTATAATGTTCTTTCCCATGCTAGTATATTAATAGAAACTCACTATTTGTAGACTTGCTATTATATTACTGTATTATGAATGTGCACATGAGGGTGCACACATTTTTTTTTAAAGAAATCAGTGTGTACAAAGTTGCTACAAGGTAAGCCTCTAGGATGTGATACTTAAAGGGCTTTTAGGATTTTTTTAACCACATTATAGAAAATATAATAGCATGAATTTTTTATTTAAAAAGTTTGAGGCATGAACTTAATTACTTTTTTAAAATGCATTCAATCTACTATGCTGAAGACTTACATACAGGATCGTGGTTCCTCATTCTAGAAGGCTGGAACTTGAAAAACTCCAGAGAAAGATACAAATCAAAAAGGACCTCTAAATCTAGAAGATAGGAAAGAATCTTTTTCAGTAGTGCTGCTTCTGAATGTGGTTGATAAATATGGTCCCTAGGACTGGTGCCTGAAGATTCTAAAAGAGGCTTGCATTTTGTTTGTGGTTGGCCAGCTGTACTGACAGTGATGGTATTCTCCCCTCCGCTTCTCTCTGCCTCCCCCAGGTCACCACCTATTTGCACAAAGACTACAATAATATGTGGATTATCAAGAAACATAATACAAACTCAGGTAATGTGACCAGGTAATGTGATGCTTCTTTATGTTCTTATTGACTTACAGTCCTCCTTAGTATTTTCTGTGCCTCCAAAAGAATACTACTAAGGTGGCTCTCCTGAGCATCTTTGACATTTTATCGATCTCTTATTCTTTGGTAGTTGTGTATTGATCTCTTCCTGTGTCCCAATCACAGTTTTAGGTATAGAGGATAAGCAGTGAATAAAACAGATAAGCTCTTACTTTTAGTACTGTTATTGAAGCCAGAGGACAGGGCTCTTGCTTAGGCTTCATCCAGGAATTGAGCATGCCAGGCGGAGCTAGTGCGTAGTCCTAATCCTGAGGTACTTTGGTTGTTCCCTATAAGACAAGACAAGCCTGTAGTCTTGTTATGGTAGCACATCCCTGGGCCAGCTCAGTCAGTTGGGATCTGAGGGCCTGCCAGCTCTGTGATCCGGCATGCCTGGGACATCACTCAAAACCTGCTCACTTTCCTCTAAATGATCTGGATAAAGTAGCTCTGAAACGTACCTGTGTGGCTCTCTGGGCTATAGAGTCAGAGCTGTATAGGAATCTTCCTTTGGTCAGGCAGCTAGCTTCCTGCGGGCTGCGCCTTCTGTTGCAGCTGAGAGCAAGGACAGCTTCCTCTTACCTTCTGAGCCATCACCACTGCTGATGTCCTCAGCCACAGCATTTCTGTGACTCCTCAGCAAGTACTACCTACCTGGCCTGGCTCCAGCCAGCTGCTCACCTAAATCCACGTTCCTTTTCCTTCCCTGCCTCTTCTTACTGTAATTTTTAGTCTAGAAACTACATAATACTGTGTCTGTGTCCTCTTTATTTGCATCCACAGTAATATAATTTAGGATGCCATTGAGCATAGTCTGTTTTTACACCCTTGTATTACTACCATTGATATTTTGATCCAGCAAGCCAGATGTAAGTGGCCCATCACAATGATGAGTTAAGAGAAAGACTAATTTTACTTCCAAGTCATCTAGGTTTTTGTTTGTTTGTTTGTTTGTTTTTGGTCGGTCATGGGGCTTGAACCCTGGGCTTGGGCACTGACCTTGTGCTCTTCAGCTCAAGACGAGTGCTCTACTGCTTGAGCCACAGCACCACTTCCGGTTTTCTAGTGGTTTATTGGAGATAAGAATCTCATGGACTTTCCTGCCCAGGCTGGCTTTGAACTGAGATCCTCAGATCTCAGCCTCCTGAGTAGCTAGTTTTACAGGCGTGAGCCTCCCAGCCCCCGGCCTGTTTGTTTTTTGTCAGTTATGGGGCTTGAACTCTGTGTCTAAGTGTTGTCCCTCAGCTCTTCAGCTCAAGGTGAGCGCTCTACCACTTGAGCTACTGTGCCACTTCCGATTTTCTGGTGGTTTATTGGAGATAAGAGTTTCACGAGCTTTCCTGCCCAGGCTGGCTTTGAACCGAGATCCTCAGATCTTAGCCTTCTGTAGCTAGGATTACAGGCATGAGCCACCAGTGCCCAGCGTCATCTAGGTTTGAACCCAGTCTTTGAACATTCCTAGACTTCTAAGTTAAGATGGTCACATTTCATTTAAATAACTGAGGATTTTCTGGGAACATCTTAAAAGTATTTATGTTCTTTATGGCTATAAATACCCTCATCCTTATTCACAAACCTTCCTTCTCTATTGACTTATTTCAGTTATTATCTTGCTAATTAATCTTATAAAACCTTAAAGGCAGAATAGCAATGGACCTCTGTGTAGTTGAGTTCTCTAATTATCTTGAATAAGTGATTTGCACTGGCAAATTAAGCCTTCCTGGCCTTGATCTATTTATAGGATCTTGGTATCTCACTGTTTGGGACAGAAGTTTGCAAGGGTACACTCTGCTTGGATTTGGGGATTACAGCTCCTTTTCCATATCATTGCCCTTATAGATTCTGATGAGTCTGACTTTCTGATGACAGAACAGTGGTCCTTGCCTTCTATCATTTAATTATCTCCACCTCACTTAGCAGGCCTACTGCCAGAGAAAATATTTCATTTTGGGGAAAGCTGAACAAATGGTGATTTGCATAGAATTCATTTTTGATAGACTATATTATAATAACAAAAAGGAGAACCTTGCCATTTAGCTCCCCAGCCTAAGTTCCTGTGGGGAACCTAGTGCCTTTCAGATAAAAGCCACATTGTGCCAGGTGCTGGTGGCTCATGCCTGTAATCCTAGCTACTCAGGAGGCTGAGATCTGAGGATCGTGGTTCAAAGCCAGCCCAGGCAGGAAAGTCCATGAGAATCTTATTTCAATAAACTACTCAGAAAACTAGAAGTGGCACTGTGGCTCAAATGGTAGAGCACTCGCCTGAGCTGAAGAGCTGAGGGACTGCCCAGGCCCAGAGTTCAAGTTCCATGACTGGGGGGGAAAAAAAAGAAAAAAAAAAGCCACATTGCCTCAGCTGGCATGCATGGACTAACTCAGCCTCGTTTCCTGTTCCTATTCCCTCCCATTCCTAACTGTATGAAACCATTTGCCTTTGATAAGTGAGTTGTGTTCTTCAGATCTCTGTGCCTTTCTCCACTTGATTACCTGGCAGAATTCTCCCTCAAAGAATCTCTGTTTCTCTGTGATAACTGAAGGTCCTTGCTTTTTCAATCCACAACCCTCTGTTAGTGCCTCTGGCATATGCCAAATAGTGGAGTAATTGGCTTTGAATTGACCTGCAGTGTACAGCCAGGAAAGTAAATGACTGGGAGCCCATGCATGTTTCTTACCCACAGATCCACTAGACCCTTCTCTCCCAGTGGAGTTTGTGAGACATGGAGACATCATTCGACTAGAACACAAAGAGTAAGTGAACTTGCCAGTTGGATAATAAGGGTAGAGAGTTCCTTTAAGAAGATTGCAGAAGTCAGGTGTGGCTAGAGCTGCAGCAGTGGAACAAGGCTGCAGTGCTAGGATGAGTGTTTCGTGGTACAAAGGTGGTAAGTAACAGGCAAACTTTTACTTCCTGGCTTGGGCTTTGAGGAGCTTTGAGGGAACCTTTCAGTTTTCCTTTCCCTGAAGAGAAAGATAAATATAAGTTGCCCTAATCTGCTTTTAAGTGGTGCTTTTAGAAAATGTAAGTGACTATTTTTGAGAGTATGACACACTAGTTTATTTCAACAGCAATCTCACCAAAATTACTAAAAATGCTTAGATGATATAAAAGCCTCTTAAAAGCATAAAAATATTAACAAGATATTTAATAGTTACTAGGAGCTGTGTGCAGTGGCTCATACCTGTAATCCTAGGTATGTGGGAGACTGAAATCAAGTGGATTTCAAGTCAAGGTTAAGCCAGGCAAAAAGTTCTCAGATTCCACCTCAACAGAAAAAGTGGGCATGGTGGGGCATACCTATCATCCAAGCTACAGCAGAAAGTAGAAGTAGGATTATAGTCCAAAATTTTAAGACCCAATCTCAAAAATAATCAGAACAAAAAATGACTAGAGGGATGGCTCAAATGGTAGAACATCTGCCTGAGACGTACAAGGCCTTGAGTTAAAACCTCAGCATAGCTAAACGCGAAAGATAAAAACTAAACGGAACTATTACGAGACAAAGTCTAAGTTAAAATGGGAATTCAGAGGAGCGAATGAGGCACTGAAGCCACTGGTCTTCATCCACCATCTTGAGTTTAATCTTCAATTTTTTTTATTTAAAAAAAATTTTTGGGGGGTCCGGTCATGAGGCCTGAACTCTGGGCCTGGGCGCTGTCCCTCAGCTCTTCAGCTCAAGGCTAGCGCTCTACCACTTGAGCCACAGCACCACTTCCGGCTTTTTTCTTTTTGCTTATGTGGTGCTGAGGAATCGAACCCAGGGCCTCATGCATGCAAGGCGAGCGCTCTACCACTGTGCCACCTTCCCAGCCCCTAGTCTTCTATTTTGATCTTTTGTTGACTTACCTTGACAGAAGGGATTTGGAAGTCATAGTTCTAAGCTCAACCAAAATGATAAATTTGTTGTGATTAATTTCCAAATTTGGAACCCCAAAAGCCTTATAGTAAGGATTCATTTACCCCAAGGACAAGTGTTTGATACTGAGCATAGGTGATTGATTAGAGATCCCTAGATCCTAAGAGTTGATCCTCATATGGATTTACAGCCATATTCCTGTCACCTGGGTGGTCTCCATATTTAAGCTGTGAATTTAAAAGAACATAATTGTAGAAGTTAATTCTCATTTGGGAAAGACATGGTAACCCATTCCTATAAGTAGTTTTACGGCAGCAGTCAAAAATACATCACTCATGAAACAATGCCCAAGAACAGGCAGAAACAGCCTACAGAAGCAGCTCTACAAAACTTTCCTGTACTGCAGTTAGTAGATATAGATGTTTAAAAATCAGGAATATGTATATACATACACACACCTATATGTCTATATCTATATACACACATGCGTAATTATCAGTGCTTTTTTTCAGGTAAGTTCATTTTAAATAGTTAATTTTTTTTTTTTTTTTTTTTCAGTCATGGGCCTGAACTCTGGGCCTGGGCGCTGTCCCTCAGCTCTTCAGCTCAAGGCTTGTGCTCGACCACTTGAGCTACAGCACCACTTCTGGCTTTTTCTGCTTATGTGGTGCTGAGGAATTGAACCCAGGGCTTCATGCATGCAAGGCAAGCACTCTACCACTGAGCCACCTTCCCAGCCCCTAGTTAAATGCTAGTTTTCTTCTTCCTAGCTAGACTTCTAAGTCAAACAGTTGGAGTGCTTCATGCTACCAATTCTGTGAAGGCCATCCCACTGCCCTGACAATACCTGAAGTTAGTCTCTTTTTTAGCATGAAGTCCAGGGCATTCCCATCTATCCTTCTCAGTTTGTGCTTTGCCCTCTTCTCCAATACTCCCAATATTTCTTGTGAAATCAGAAGGCAACAGTTCTTTATGTATTGGAATTACAGTTGGATTTAATAAGTGTTAAATATAGTATTATTTTAGCCTCTTAAAATCAAGTAGGTAAGCCATGAATAGTGGTACACACATGTAATCCCAGCTTCTTGGAAGATGGAGGCAAGAGGATAACGAGTTTGAGGTCAGCTGAGGCAAAGTTAGTGAGACTTTGTCTCAGAACTCTACCACCAAAAGATGTATTTGAGGGGCTGGGAAGGTAGCTCAATGGTTGAGTGCTTGCCTTGCATGCACGAGGCCCTGGGTTCAATTCCTCAGCACCATATAAGCAGAAAAAGCTGGAAGTGGTGCTGTGGCTCAAGTGGTATAGCAGTAACCGTGACCTGAAGAGCTGAGGGACAGCACCCAGGCCCAGAGTTTAGGACCCATGACCAACCAAAAAAAAAAAAAAAAAAGATGTATTTGAATATTCAATGTTAAAGAAGAAATATTGCACTGAGAGAGTGCAAGCAAAGGGATGACATTGTCCTAAAAGAAATGTACTTTTTTACCTTATGTAAGTTTAACCCTCTGTATATCACCTTTATAATAACAATAAATACTTTTTTCTAAAAAGAAGCAACATTGTAAATCTCTTAAGTAGTTGTACAAAGGAGTTGCCATTCAACAAAGCATGAATACAGTGCATCTTGGTTAATGTCACTCCTTTAAATGACCTCACTCTTCCCAACCCCATCTTCTCTCACTCTTCTTAACTTTATAAGATATGTATTGAATTTTTGGCTGCATTTTCTCTCCTCTCTTCTTCTTTTGCCTACCCCTCCCCCCAACACTCCTTGACTCCACCTTATCCTTTTGAAGTACCTGTTTCCTGGTGTGTATTTTATTGACCTTTGATTTAGTCTTTCTAAGGAATTAAACTGGTTAGTACTCCTCTGACTCTTACCATATTTCAGTTAATACATGTGTATAAATAATAACAGATACTGGCAAGGATGTGGACAAAAAGGAATGTTGGTGGGAATGTAAACTCATTCTCTCACTGGAAAGCAGTATGGAGGTTTCTCAAAAAATTAAACATAATATTACCCTATGATCCAGCAATTCCACTCTTGGACATTTATCCAAAAGATTACAAAATAAAGCTACCAGGACAACCATGTGTATTGTAGCACTATTCACCATAACCAGGTATGGAAACAACCCTGATGTCCATCAGTGGACAAATGGATCAAGAAAAAAAAATACACACACACACACACAATGGAATTTTACTCATCCATTAGAATTATATTGCATCATTTGCAAATAAATGGAAAGACCTGGAAAAAAGGTGTGTTAAATCAGCTCCAGAAAGACAAAAGTTACATGTTTTCTCTCATATGTAGAAACTAGAATTCATTTATAAATATATAAGTAAATACTTTGGGAAGTTTGCAAGTATGCACATTTTATTCACGTAATGACCCTTCTTTCTTCCAACTTGTAGGACTTCTCGGAATTTACACAGTCACCGTCATGAGGCCCCCCTGACCCGGAAGCACTATCAGGTCACTGGGTATGGCATAGTAAGTGAGCCAACTGGGATGTGAGCATGGTGATAAGGTTGTGGGGCTTGGCTCATGACCGCATAATAGGATACATCCACGCCAGAAAACATGAGTATTTCTAAGGATTGGAGCTACAAATGGAGTTCCTTTATATTTGGTAACTCTTTGGCTGAATTTTATGTAAGAAAAGCAGTCTGTCTCCATTTCTCTTCTCAAATAGGAACCATGTAATTTACATATTCTAATACCTAGTAAGTGTTAAATATGAGTATTATTTAGGTTTCTTAAAATCACATTAGAGAAGTCAGGCATAGTGACGACCTTCTGTAATACCAGCTGCTTGGTTGGGAAGGGAGATAGGAAGATCATTATAAGGATCTCTTTCTTATAATAGAAAGGTATTATACATATGTTTTGTATTTCAGCCTTAGGGAAATGTACTTAATAGAGTAAAAGCTCTATAAGGGCTTATGACGTGGGAATAATTGAAGGCAGTATGAACTCTAGTGGAAAGCTAAGTATATCCAGGCGCTGGTGGCTCACACCTGTAATCCTAACTACTCAGGAGGCTGAGATCTGAGGATCTCGGTTGAAAGCCAGCCCGGGCAGGCAAGACTGTGAGACTCCTATCTCCAATAAACCACCAGAAAACCGGAAGTGGCACTGTAGCTCAAGTGGTAGAGCGCTCTCCTTGAGCTGAAGAGCTAAGGGACAGAGCTCAGGCCAAGAGTTCAAGCCCCATGACTGACAAAAAAAGAGAAAAAGAAAAGAAAGCTAAGTATGACTATCAGTTACATTCCCTTTCAGAACTTTGCTGTTTCAATAAAATCTGTGATCTTCTTTCTACTTGCTTATTCTACATTGTACAAGAATCAGGCTCTGAAGTCATAGTTTTCTTGTGGGCCACAAGTGTCTTAATTTCCAAGATGTGCTATATAGGCCAGGCCTTTCTGGCTTAGGTATGAGGGTCCGTGCTATATAGGCCAGGCCTTTCTGGCTTAGGTATGAGGGTCCGGATGGCCAAGATAATGGATGCAAATGCCCAGATCTGCTTCTGTTGGCTCAGGGAAGAAAACTTAGAACTTAAACTCTAGTCCTATGAAGTAAAGAATTGGACTTCTGGTTCCAACAGTTATGTTCCTTCCCCCACTCCCTTTTTCTTTTGTTTTAATAGGAAGTTTTGGGGCAATGTCAGTCACTTGAAAAACTAGGATATTTCTATGCATTCTTATTTCCTCTCTCACTTCAATCATTAAGACCAATTTGTCCTTTGTGATATAGTGGCATCTGAAAGGGTAGCTGTCTTTGATTGTGACACTTCTCTACAGACATGCTGTGTATCTTTTTCTTGATTTATGTGACAGAATGGCACAGGAGACTCAAATGATTTCTGGCGGATTGAGGTTATAAACAGAAAATTTGGGAACCGGATCAAAGTGTTGCGAAGTCGAATTCGCCTTATCCACCTGGGCACAGGTTGTGTCCTGGGGTCCTCAGGAAAAGTTCTTCCTAAATGGTAAGTCTGGACCTCTGATGTCCCAATCGAGCTTCTGCTTTTTTTTGTCTTGCTACAAGGAGTATGCTAGAACCTCCCATTTCCCAGTAGTCAGTGTTCACTTCATATTTGCTTTTTCTTTTTTTTTTTTATTGTGAAAATACCATATAGAGGGGTTACAATTACATGGGCAAGATAATGAGTACATTTCTTACCAAGCATTGTTGCCTCCTCCTTTGTTTCCCCTTCCCATCCCTTCCCATCTCCCACCCACTCCCCCCACCCCTCACCATATTTGCTTTTTCTTAGTGGTAGATGGCAGGAGAAAAGGAATCAGATATATCATTCAGCACAGAGCCCCAGGGCAGCTTTGTTATTTTATGTGTTTTGATAGTTGGATATTTGTACATCTGGCTTGTGGTAGAAACACTAGTCTCCCCCTATAATAGCAGTACTAGATAAAAGTGTAAGGTTAAACAAAAAAAAGAGTGGCCACTGGCTTGAAAACAGAGGGAAGGGTTCCACAGACCTAAGATTGGCAGACAGTGCTGGGCTTGGGGATTTCCAGGTCTTCTGAGAGACATCTGTGATTACTTTTCACAGGGGCTGGGAGCAATTGGAAGTTACTTGCACACCATACCAAAAAGAAACCCTCAGCTCCATCTGGAATGTGGAGGACCATATAAATCCTAAACGTGAGTGAGCTTCCCAGGCTAGAAACTCCTACCATAGAAAAGTAACTCTTCATAGACTGTTGCCACTGAGTCTTAGTGCTTTTGGAAGAGTTGTGTGTACCTATACTGCTAGCTCCTTTTTCTTTTCCTCTCTTTCCAGCTGAATAGAATAACTAATGACCTCCTGCAGGTGCTCTGTTTTATGTTCCTCTTGTTCTTCTGTCCCTGTACCATGGGCACTTCACACCTGCAGGCTTGGCCCAGGAGGACCTCCCCATGTCCAGTCAGCCCATTCCCAGCAGGCCACTGCCACGGCCACAGCCCTGACCTGATCCCAATCTCTGCTCCTAGCCCCATCTGACCTTCCCTCCTCTTGCCAACTTCAGCTCAGTCTTTGAATTCATAGTCTTTTCTTAACACCCCATTTACCCTCATGTTTGTTTTCTCTTCCTCTCCTTTTCATTCTTCTTACCACCTGATTTAGCCAAAACTACCTAGCAGATCAACTCCTTATTTGGTATGCTGGGAAACACAAGCATCCATCTGTGGATAAATTGTTGAATGAATGAGACTGTTGAATGAATGCCCTGTCTTCATACACCTCATGCCTAACAGACCGGCAGCCTCTGAGCCAGAGCCATCATGAAGTTTGATGGCGCTGAATGCCATGAGAGCGAGCACTGAGGGGGAGGTCTGACATCTGTTACCTCAGTAGTTCTCAGAGCACCTACTGAATGCTTAATGTTGTCTGAGTGAAAGACCCTCAGTACTCTCACCTGTTGCCAGCTTGTCAGAAAGGCTACACTTGGACTCTGGTGGGAGTGTAGATACTGTGGATGGACAGACAGACTGAGGACAGAATTTGTGACAAAGCCTCTCTCCTCTTGTTTGTCTTGTTTTTCTTAGTGCCAAACATCAGCCTGGAAGTGCTGCAGCCCAGTTTTGCCGAGGTCTTGCTGGAGTCGCACATGATCATGATCCTGGTACTGTAGCCCCTTCTTGGCCTATCTTTTTTTTTTTCCTGTCAGAAAAGTTCTTTATTCACAGAAGCCCTTACCAAATCAAATGAATTTTTTTCTTTTATTTATTTTTCCTTTTTGAGCTTCAACTATGATAATTTTTAAACATTTTTATTGTTATGGTAGAGTCGATACACAGAGGGGTTACAATTATATGAATTAGATAATGAGTAATGAGTACAATTCCTCTTCTGTCGCTGTCTCCCAGTTTATCCGTCCCTTCCTTACCCACAACATATCCAGTTCATTTTCTCTGTGGTGTCCAGTGAGCTCCACTGCTGCATTTGTTCATCCTTGTTACATCTTTTATGTGCCCTCCCATCCCCTCTCAAATACAAACTAATAAGACAAAAGGAAAACAAAAACAGAAACAATGGTAACTTTAAAAAATGTCTTTCGTTTCCTTTTCTTGGAGTTCATTTCATAAAATATTATTTTACATGATCATCTGTACATAGCAATTGAGCATTTGTCCACCAGTCCTATATATGTCCTCCTCTGGCCTCAGTATGTGAATGACCAGAGCAGTATACAAATTCAATACAATACCCACCAAAATCCCAACCACTTTCTTCAAAGAAATAGAGAAATCAGTCCAGAAATTCATATGGAATAATGAAACCCAGAATAACAAAAACAATTCTTAGCAAGAAGAACAGTGTTGGAGGAATATCAATACCAAACTTCAAGCTTTATTACAAAGCCATTGTAATAAAAACAGATTGGTACTGGCACAAGAATACACCTGAAGACCAATGGAACAGAATAGAAGACCCAGAAATAAACTGACAAATATATAGCCACCTAATATTTGATAAGGGAATCAAAAAGGGTGGAAGAAAGACAACTTCTTCAACAAATGGTGCTGACAAAATTGGCTGTCTACGTGCAGAAAACTGAAACTAGATGCTCATATATCACCCTGCACCAGAATCAACACTAAATGGATCAAAGACCTCAATATAAGGCCAGATACTGTGAAAATATTATAGGAAGGGATAGGGGAAACACTAGGCCTTTAGGCATGGGGAGAAACTTCTGAAACAAAGATCCAGAATCACAACGATTGATCAAACTTAAGAGCTTCTGCATAGCAAAGGACATAGCTAGCAAGATAAATAGAAAGCCCACAGAATGGGAGAAAATCTTCACTAGCTGTACATCAGACAAGGGCTCATATCTAACCTATGCTTAGAGCTCAAAAAATTAACCCCCCCTAAAAGTAAGTCCTTGCTTAGCTTATCTAAGAACTTTTTGGGCCGCTGCACTTTGGAGCATAAGTGAATAGTATGGCATAGGTCTGCTGCCCCCTTGTGGAGGACTTTGGACTGTCTTAGGCATTCCTCTCACAGTATTAAGGTGGTGGTAACTTGATGATTCTAGTGAACGCTTCTGTGGCTATTAGGTTCTGGCACTGTACTGAGCACTGTGCATATTAACGTATTTAATATTTATTACAGTCCTGTGGAGATTATCATCTCGGGTTATAGGTGAGAGAACTGAGGCACAGAGAAGGTAGGGGACCCGCGGGTTATATACCTATTTGTAAAAGGTTGATCCAGGGGGAGAGGGACTAGCAGGAGAAAGGAAGAGGATGAGAGGCTCATGGATGAATGTATTAAGTACATTGTCTACATGTATGACAATGTCATAATGACACTTTAAAAAAAAGATGGATCTAGCTTTCAAAGCTAGGCTAACAGGTTTCCAAAGTCAGTGCAATTTCCTTGACCTCCTATATCTCTAAGTGATTTTCAGTCTGTTCAAGTGGCAGAACCCCTGAAGATAGTTATCTTCAGTGATAATTTATTATATCTCATGAATTTAAGATCAGTCAGGATACATAGTTGAGTGTTGTTTATATACAGCATAAAAGTCCCACCATGAGCCCAACCATGTTCCTGGACAGGAATTCTCAAAAGGATAGCTGGTTCAGGTTTCAAGTTTTCTAAAACCTATTGCCTGTTGTTAGCAACTGACAGCAGTCGTGGTATCAGTTTAAGGTGAAAGGAATCTTTAAATCTAGGTTATTATGTCTGCCAGCTTATTTGCCCCTGTGAGTGGGAGAGAGCTTGCTGATGTTTGGTGAGAGACCCCTTGTGCTGGCTGTGGAAAACCTAAGTCCTGCAGGAATGATATTCAAGACCCATGTTTCTCAGGCTGGATTGGTGACTGACAGCTACTCATAGGGGCGCAGGGAGGTGTAGAGGTGTTATTTCTCTCCTGTGAGCCATTGTCAAGTGGACTTACCTGAAAGTGATTATATAAGTGGTACTCATAAAATATAGTTGACTTATTGCACCAGATTAAACTTTTAAAATTCTGATTTTGTCAGTTTTGTGCATTGGGAGGTGATGAGTTGACATTAAGTGATCTCTGGGTCACTTCCTCTCTGACTCTCTGCTTGTAGCTGTCACTGTGGCTTGATGACATAGCTCTTTTGAATATCTGCCTGTCAGTCACACCATCAGTCTGGGTCTGAGTAGAATTTTAAGACTGTATGAGTCTTGAGAGTTTTAGTTCTTCTTTCATTATCTGGAAGTATCATTATCTATAGGCAAAGAAGAAAAGGAATGTGTGGGAGCTCTGTTATTAACCTGATATAGACTCAGGAAAGAGACAGAGACCAAAATAGTGAGTCCAGACAATGGAAACTGCTGCAGTCCATGTGTGCATGTGTGTGCGCTCACGTGTGCATGTGTGCACTTGTGCATACACACACTCATGCAAGTGTGCCCACACATGAGGACCAATTGGATTGACACCTGAGTGGAGAAGGCTAGCAAGTTTGATGTGGTAAAGAGGATTACCTTGACTTGTCACAATTTGGGCTGGCATCCCTGAGTTTGTGACTGAACTGGGCTGCTTTGAAGAGATTGATTTCCCTCAACATTTGCTCCAGGAATCTACAAAACTTTCTCCCTCATTCCAAGGCCCCTTGGATGGCCTTGATTCAGGGGCTATCCAGTTGATCCTTTGGGTCAGACTCCCTCATGGAACTTTTGGCCCTACAGGAGAAACCCAGCCACCAAATGGAGGCTTGCAAATTGTTCCCAATCCCTCATCAAGTTGAACTAGGAAGGCTCACTTAACCACATCTTGAATCTTTCTTGGCTAAAACAGTGGTTTTTATTTGAGGGCAGTTTTGTCTCCCAGTGGGATATTTGGTAATGTCTGGAGAAATTTTTTTTCTTTTTTTGTATGTTTTTTTATTATAAAAATGCTGTACAGAGGTGTCTGGAAAATTTTTGTATGCTATAATTAAGGGGTGGAACATGCAGAGAGTAGATCCTGGGAATGCTAAACATTCTACAATTCACTGTGTAGTCCTGATGACAAAGACTTATCTAACCCAAATGTTAGCTGAGAAACTTTTTCCTGACTGAGCACCTGGCTCCTCTTCCCAGTCCTGGCTTCTGACCCTATTCTGTCCTGTTTAGCAAAGGCCTTATTTTGCCATGGTGAGACGAATTATTGCACTTGCTTGGCTACTGGATTAGCGGAGCCGAGCTCAGGTCCTTCAGACTAACACATACATTAGGATTGCTTTCTCTCCCATAGATGAAGTATATTCTTGGAGGGAAAAAAATCCTTCCCTTTTTTTTTTTAAGGTATAACGCATAGGCATTCCTATAGTATGTAAACAATTATATAAATATGACTGTGGTGTTAAATATATAAAATATGAAGGATGTTTAGAAAGCAATGCCTAATACACACATTGAGAGAGGAAAACAAGTTAAATGAAAATCTTTTTTTTTTTTTGGGGGGGGGGGTCTGGTCCTGGGCCCTGAACTCTGGGCCTGGGTGCTGTCCCTCAGCTCTTCAGCTCAAGGCTAGCGCTCTACCACTTGAGCCACAGCGCCACTTCCGGCTTTTTTTCTTTTTGCTTATGTGGTGCTGAGGAATCGAACTCAGGGCCCCAGGCATGCAAGGTAAGCATTCTACCACTGAGCCACCTTCCCAGCTCCTTAAATGAAAATCTTAACAATAGATTGAAATTAATAAATATGTTCTTTCTATGGTTCTTGGTGGGGGGGGGGGGGGGAGACAGAGAAAGCAATGCCTAAAAAACAGGCAGTAATGAAAAACACGGAAAAAACCTTAGGCTGAAGTAACTATTTCCAAGTTCAGGTACTTGTCAGTCTCTGCTTTTCTGTTTAAAGTCTTAGTTGAATGAATAAGCTCTGATTTTAAATCCTGCCTTCCTTGACATTCTATTCTTGACTTGTCAGATGTCATATGTTTTGCACCTAATAGAAAGAGATCCCTTTTCTCTTCTGTTTCTCATATAGTGGGTCAAATGGACTGCCTCTGATGGAACTGTGAGGCTTGTTTGGGAGAATTAAGACAAGTATTGTAGGCAGGTAGACTGTGGCTGAAAATGAGCATCTGATTTTTCCTTGCCATAGGAGAATGAAGAGGGGGATGCCGGGCGGGAGGATCCTCTTGACAGTTGGCTAGCTATCCATCTCTGACTTCATTACCCTTTTTTTTTTGTCACCTTACTGCAGGGAAATAATGGCCTTAAGCCCAAGGACAATGAGTTTACATCTAAACCCTGGCACTGGCCTATCAACTATCAGGTAGGACTTGAGGCTAGAGTTCCAGAAAATGGAACCAAGTAAGGAACTGTAGAGACTGGGTTGTTTGGGGGGCCAAGGGGAAGCCTTGCCTAGGTGGGCTGGAATAGGGCTGGGTTTTCTGCCCTGATTCTGATCCCACCTTCCCAGAGAGCTCATGTAGAATTTGCATTCTAGACCTCTTGTCCAGGCTGTTTGACTGTGGAATAAGACTGTGGAGTAATAGTAGCTGGGAATGAGCTGAGCCCTGGATCAATAGGGCATTCTCTTCTTTCAAATAGGGCCTGCGTTTCTCAGGGACCAATGACACAGACTTCCGAGTCTACCTACTTGGCAACCCGGTGAGTATCTGATTGTTCTCCTCCTGCCTGACTGAGCACATGCCTGTGGAGAGCTGCTACCATGTTCTCATCCTCTGCTGTCCTTCCCATGCAGGTAGTCTGGTGGCTGAATCTGGTGAGCATTGCCCTTTACCTCGTCTTGGGGAGCACCATTGCCATTGCCCTGCAAAGAGGGGTGCAGCTGCCCATGGAGCTGGAAGGTTAGGGCCCCTGTGCTTTCTCTGCCCTGCCTATAGCTGGTGAGAGCTTGCAGTCTGGGGAGGGCCTGCCTACTGTGAGAGGATCCCTTGCTTTCCCCACTACCCTCTCTTCCTTCTTTGTTTGAAAGACAGCTCATAATCACCCGTATGTGTTCAATACATTGCCCCTCCCAACAGCCCTGTCAGATTAGTGTTAGCCCATTCTGTGGATTTGGGATTTATCCCAGGACATATAGCTCATAATTATTAGCACTAAGACTCAGACCCAAGTATCTAACTTAAGGGTCTTCACTTTCCCCATGCTATAGCCAGAGCTGCTCCTTTTCACATTGCCCCTATGTTTCATAGTCCTGTTCTCCAGTGGGGTAGAGAGGCATGTGCTAAGCAGGGCAGTGTTTCTTCTCCTACTGGTGCTGCCCCTGTTCTATTTAGCTGTGACATAAACCATAGCACTAGAGACATCTCCACAAGCTGTGTTTGCCCTGCAGCTTCCTACCCCAATAGCCTGGGCCCAGATCCCCTTCCCCTCTGTCATCTGACCTCGCCCCTAGGCCAGCCTATCCCCATGAAGGTTTGTGGTGGTAGAGGTGCCAGCAGAGGAGAAGGGAGAGCAGTTATGTGAAGCTGTATGCCTCCTGCCTGCTGACATGTGACATCCTGGCCATGGTATCAAGGCTGTGCTAGGCTGGGTACTGAGCAGGCATCTCAAGACTGCTTACTCTTCCAGTTGCCATGGTTCCATGTGGGTTGGTCACATGAGGGAAGAAAGTGAGGTAAAGTCACCTATTCAGATCACACAGCAAGGAAGAGGCAGAGCTGGGCTGGAACCCAGGCCGTCCACCCTTCTCAGACTTCTTACTGGGCTGTGCTGCCTTGGGGCTCAGGGCAAATCCAGATGTTGCTGCGAGGAGGTGGCCAGATGCTACTTGGCTGGATGCTCCATTACTTCCCGTTCTTTCTGATGGGCCGGATCCTCTACTTCCACCACTACTTCCCAGCCATGCTCTTCTCCAGCATGTTGACAGGTCAGCGTTGCCTACCAGCACTGGGGACACACATCGGGAGGCAGGGCAAGAGAGGAGGGAAAAGCCACCATGATCAGTGGTGCTGCTTCCTGCAGGATTCCCAGAAGTTCTCTGACATGCTGGTGTTGGTTTCCCTGCTCTCCATAGGCATCCTGTGGGACAGCCTCCTGCGACTTTGTGCCTGGGGGTTGGCCTCCTCTCCCCTGGCCAGAGGTGTCTACCCCATGGGAGTGCTGAGCCTGCTTCTGGTAACTGCCTACAGGTATGCTGCCCCTAACATGTTCCTCTATCAGGTGCTCACTGGTACTTTGGCCCTGAGTAAAATTAGGATCCCTTGGGAGCATGTAAGCTGTTCTGTGGTTGGTTCATCCCCAGAGGTTCTGATTCAGTTTGGTACAGTGGGTCACAATTCGAAGCCCCTCAGATGACCTTAATGTACAGTCAAGGCGGAACCAAAGGGGGCTTACTCCTCCTCTGTGCCAGTGGTTCCCAACTTCACTACCCCTTTTAGTCCTGGGGCTCCTTGCTGGAATAGCTATCTCGAGGTTGAGGGGGCGAAGGTAGGGAAGTGTGGGAATGTGGGGGGCAGGGTTGGGGATCCCAGAATTTCTGAAGGGAGACTGTAAGTAGGAAAGCTCCCCCTTTCCTTTCTTCTGGCAAGTTCTAAGATCCTGCACTGAAAGCCCCTGATTGTGACTCTGAGGTCCTTCTGACCCATGAGCACACCCTTGCCAAAGAAGGTTAAGCTCCTACTAACCAGTACTGAGCCTCAGCCCCCCAGGACCAGACCACCCCTAGATGGTCCTTCTCCTAGGCCTGTTGGAAAGAGCATCTACTGAGCTCCTGGACCAGCGCGTGAGCACTGGCAGACTGAATCAGATGGATAGATGGACTGAGTTGTGGTGGTGGAGCCTGTGTGATGTGCCCAGCAAGGGGGGTGGGGGGACTTCAGTCAGAAGTCCTCATTGTGGCCTGGGATATACCAGTTATCTCCCTCTAATTCTTTCCCACAGCTTCTACCTCTTCCACCCTCTGGCTTATGGGATGGTTGGTCCCCTAGCCCAGGACCCTGAAAGTCCAATGGCAGGACTAAGGTGGCTGGAATCATGGGACTTTTGAGGCCACTGCAAAGGACTGAGGTCTGGTTCCAGGAACTCTCTGAAGAGAGCCAGCTGCAGAACCAAGTCCTGGACCCTGTCAGCTTGAGGTTGCTGTCCAAGGAGCCCAAAGCATCAGCCAGGACCAAGCTCTAGGGGCAAACGCAGATTTCACTCAACACTAACAAACTGCAGCTCTGTCTGCAGTACCCACAAAGGACTGTGTCTCTTGGACCTAATTCTCCAAGTGTGCAATATGAGGAAGGATGAGTGTGGGAGGGAACGTGTGTCCAGTTCCCTGTGGAGTACAAACTGGCCAGCCGAGAAGCATAAATTCTGAGAAGTCGTCCAGGGCTGCTGTAAGATTTCCTGGTATTTTTTCACATTAGATCTGGCTTGTAAAATCTGTAAGAAATTCTCCGACTTCCAAGAGGGTCTCTTGGGCTGAGAGTGCTGGCTCTGTCTCTGCTGAGGGCCCAGTGTGGGATGGTCTAAGCTACATTACCCTTCTTCCCATAAACAAGCAAATCAGTGGGGAGCAGGCTCCCCATGACTTTCCCAAATACCTTCTGTGGAAGCTGAACTTTTTGCCCATGATGCACATAGAACACCAGGCAATGAGAACGCCTCACCAGCCTGTGGTTGGCTCTGCCTTAGCCCTTGGTTGCTTCTCTAGTACACTGAGGTTGGTGAGGAAACCATGTTCTATCCCATGGCTACACTGTGTTCCCAGGTCCTGTGTGCCAGAGACCATTTCTGCTATCCAGACCTTCCTCTGCATCCAGCCTGGCCATGAGCACTGAGACAGAGGCATTCTCCTGGTGGCTGGGAGAACCTCAGCAGCTAAGAGAGAGGAGTCTGAGTGGGGAACCTTATATGAGCCGAGATTCCTGTGAAATGTCCAGATGTGGGATACTTGGCCTCTTAGGGCCAGTATTCCTAACTCTGCTGGATATTTCACATTTTACTTTCCTAGCCCTCTCCAGATGACACCCTCTTGAAACTTCATAGGTTTTCCCTTTCTTTCTGTTACTACTTCACCAGTCTTTCTCCCCGAAGACCCTGAGCACCTAGAAACACATGACAGCTTCTACAGTCTACCCCTTTGAGCTTCGAGCTCAGAGCTGCTTCTACTTCTTCCCCCAGAGGAATTAAGAAAACTTTGGGGGTCAGAACCAAACTAACCAAGGCCAGCCCTTTGGCCTGCCTTCCTCCTCTCAGTTGAGGACAAAATGTTTATTTGATCTCAGAAGACTTTGATGCTTCACGGTTTAATAATGACTTTGCCACTCTCATCTTCCCTCCACTGTAGCTCCCAACAACTCTGACAGGGTCACAGCTCTTTAAAGCATCTTCAGGAGGCGGTTGCCACGGAGACTGGTAATTGGTCTCAGGGACAGGCTGTGCTACCTACAGAGTGGTGAGGAGGAAAGCTTCTGGGCTGTGTTTGGCTGCTCAGACCAAGCATCATTAATGTTAATAGAGGAAATGCAGCTATGTCAAAAGCAAGGCAGGACGGTTAATTAGATCTGAGGCCCACTGACCTCCCTTTCCCAGGGCTATAGCCCTTTTGACTTCCCCTCGCAGGAAGCTCAGCCTGTGCCCTGAGTCTGGGCTGCTTGCTTAATTGCATTTCTGGCAGGGATGGAGAAACTCTGTCCTAACTCTCCCTCCCTTTCCTCCCTTCTACAAGCAGAGCTAGTTTCTGTTGTGCACGAGTAGGGCGCCATCTGGGTGGGGTTTTTTAGAGGTAAAATGCAGGGATTTGCTTGGCTGTTAGCAAAGGTGGCCCATGATGACAAGCCTGTGTCTTCTTACTTCCAAGAGGAACTTGTTGGAAGAGAGGAGCTGTGTAGGAGCCCAGGGGCATCCATCCCCTAAGTGAGGATGAGGAAGGAGCAAGCTCATCTAGCTTCATGTCCACCCTTCTACTATGACCATCTTGGGGACAAAAGTTCCCTTCTTTCTTTCCCTACTTTGCTGGGATGGAGGAGAGAGACCTCCCACCCACTCCCTCTGCTTCCATGCCCGAGCTGACAGACTTCCCTGGGAACAGAGCTGCCTGGTGTGCTAGCCATGGCTCAGGTTCTGTTTGGAAGATGCTGAAAACAATAGCCATGGCAAGGGAGAAGGGGACTGCTTCAGGAGTGGGCTGCAGCCCTTGGGAATGTGACATCTCAAACTGCTGTCAGACAGCCCAACCTCCAGCCAGTGTCTTGAGCCACATTTTATTTTTTTCTAAGTTGCTGGAGTTACTCAGAGGCCATTTACTTTTGTAATAAATAGCTCTTGTTTTTAATGCCATGCTGTTCTTGTACTTAATTGCATCTGACTTGCCCTCCGGCCTCCTTAAAGAAGAGAAGAATGTTTGGCCGGCAAGAGCCGTCCATGCCTGAGTGTCTCGTGTCTGAGGCACTGCCTGGCAGGAAAGCCCGATGCCTAGAGGCATGTGGACCTTCCCCCATACATGCTTACTTCAGTAATGTTGGATGACAGTTCAATTCACCTAAGCTTTTTCTAAAATAAGTAGGAAGCTGGGATTTGTCTATGTTTTCCCTAGTTTAACTTGCCCAGACAACATAGGAAAGCTTTTGTCCACCCCTAAAACAGTGAGTGGACTTTTTTTTTTTTTTTTGTGACAGTCCTGGGACTTGAACTTAGGGTCTGGGCTGTGCTTTACCATTTGAGCCAGAATTCCTCTTTTGGTGGTGATGGTGGTGGCAGCTTCTTCCTCCTCCTCCTCTTCTTTCTTCTTTTTCCTTTTAATACTTAATTGGAGATGAGATCCTAGCAGACTTTCCTGCTTGGGCTGGCTTCAAACCATAATCCTCAGATTTCAGCCTCCCAAGTAGGATTACAAGCATGAGCCAACAGTACCCAGCTAGCAGTTTGCCATTCTGCTTATCAGATACCTGACTCCTGCCATGGCCCTGTCATCTGGACTGCCTAGGATTTAAGATAGGTGGAACTGTCTTGAGGGTCAGCCTGGAGGAAGGAGGAAAAGAGTCTTGTTGCTATACCACAAAATTGGGGATCTTCTGGACCACCCATCTGCCCTCACAGGACCCACAGGAGGGTCAGACGGACCTGGTGCTCTTTTATACAGTACAGCTGATTTTTGGATGTTCATTCATTGATATCGAGTCTTCATCATGGTCAAGGATTGGACCAGAGAAGTCCCCATTCTTCCCATGAGAGATGAAATTAGTTGCTTAAATCATAGTAAGGAAATAGAAGCAAGACTCAGGGTCACAGTAGGGCTTTTTGGCTTTTCCAGCCTGGTCCTGGACTGGGGGCCCCTCCTTGGAGCACCCTGGCTGCCCTGGACACAGGAAAGGTCTCAGCTAAAAAGTGTCCTGGATCAGCACAACTTTTCTACTTTATGTAATGCAGCTACAGCTCTGTCAGGGACCCATTTTTCTGGTTCTTCCAGGTATACACAGGCCAGTGGTAGCAATAGTGGCGGTGGTGGTGGTGGTGATGGTGTACATGCATGTGTACATGCATATGTATGTGTACATGTGCATGCTAGTACTAGAACTTAAAAGTCAGGGCCTCAAATTCTTGATCCGCTTTCTTGCTCACAACTGGCACTCTTCCACTTGAACCATACTTCTGTTCTGGCATTTTGTGGGTTAATTGGAGATGGCATCTCTGTCTGAACTGTGAACACCGACCATTCTTTTTTTTTTTGGGGGGGGGGGGGGGTCTGGTCGTGGGGCCTGAACTCTGGGCCTGGGTGCTGTCCCTCAGCTCTTCAGCTCAAGCCTAGCACTCTACTACTTGAACCACAGCACCACTTCCGGCTTTTTTCTTTTTGCTTACTTGGTGCTGAGGAATCGAACCCAGGACCTCATGCATGCAAGGCAAGTGCTCTACCACTGAGCCACCTTCCCAGCCCCAATACGGGCCATTCTTGATCATAGCCCATTAAGGTGGTGGGAGCAGTAGAAAAGATGGAGCTGAGGTCAAACCCTGTCCCCACCACTAGTGTGGCCTTGGGCCAATCACTTCATTTCTTTGCCTCTGTTTCTTCAGTAAGATGAAAGTGTCAAAAGAGGGTTTTTTTTGTTGGCGTTTGTTTTTGTTGTTCTTTTGGTTGTGGTCCTGCAGCCTGATCTCAGGGGCTGGATGCTGTCTCTGAGCTTCTTCACTCAAAGCTAGTGCTCTACCACTTGAGCTGTAGCTGCCCTTTCAGCTTTTTGCTGGTTGTTTGGAGATAAGCGTCTCATGGATTTTTCTTGCCGGGGCTGGCTTTAAACCACAATCCTCAGATCTCAGCTTCCTGAGTCGCTAGGATCATAAGTGTGAGCCATTGACTCTGCTAGGGTCTCACTTTACAGCTGCTGTGGGATGAGTATTAGATGTCTGGACATAAATGCTCAGTGCTGGCTTTTTTCTGTCATCAGTACTTGACAACACTGAGTAGCCATTGAACTCTCCCAGGTTCTAGTAGATGTCCCACAGAGAAGAGAGATTCTGTGGCATCACCAACCCCTCAAAAGTGAATTCAGATCCTCCATCGCTCCTGAGTTCTTTTTTTTTTTTTTTTCTGGTCGTGGGGCCTGAACGCTGGGCCTGGACACTGTCCCTCAGCTCTTCAGCTCAAGGCTAGCGCTCTACCACTTGAGCCTCAGTCCCACTCCCAGCTTTTTCTGCTTATGTGGTGCTGAGGAATCGAACCCAGGGCCTCATGTATGCAAGGCAAGCACTCTGCCACTGAGCCACCTTCTCAGACCCCCGCTCCTGAGTTCTTACACCATGCCAGATTCTCCGACTTTTTCTTGAGGAGAACAGAGGTTAGCAAGCACCTTGCCCACTTCTGCCAACTCTGGCTCCAAGAAAGCAGAGGGAAGCATGGACTTGAGTGCTGACTCCATTTACTGCTAGCTAAGTCTACTACTATCATTAACTCATCAGATCACACATCCCCTGGCCAAAAGAGAAAGGTAAAAAGGATCCTGAGTATGGGTGGTTGCCAGGAAGTGCAAGCTGGACAAAGTGGAGGTTCTAGACCAGCCAGGTGAGCTGTGCAGAACACTGTGCTCTTGTTTGGGGACCTCTGGGACTCTTTAGGACACAGTCTGTGTTAGGCTGCTTCAAAGTCTTATGCTCCAGTCCAAGGACCCATGCATGGAGAGTTGGGAAAATATAGAACAGGGTGCTTCCCAAACTCCACTCTGGGGAGAGGAGCAGATAGATGCAGATAGATAGGTTTCTTACTGGAGCAAGACTGAGGCCCTTCAATTCTGGTTCAGGGCCAGAAGGAGATATTCTAGAAGGCAAGCATTATCTAGCATAGGATTGTCTGTTCACAGCCAATGGCTCCAAGATAATCACTTTGTATCTATGGAACCAAAGGATGTCCTGTAGAGATCCTGCCACCCCAACCTCACAGTGCAGCTGAAAACTGAGGCACAGAAGTGGGCAGACGGAGAGATGCTCAGATACTAAAAGCAATGAAAAGTCAATGAAATGAGCTTCTCTCTCTCTCTCTCTCTCTCTCTCTCTCTCTCTCTCTCTCTTTCTCCTTTCCTCTCTTCCTCCCAGTCCTGGGGCTTGAACTCAGGACCTGCCTGAGCTTTTTTACTCAAGGCTAGTGTTCTACCACTTTGAGCCTCAGTGCCACTTCTGGCTTTGGAGTGGTTAATTGGAGATAAGAATCTCATGGACTTTACTTCCCAGACTGTCTTTGTACTGTGATCCTTAGATCTCAGCCTCTGGAGGAACTAGAATTACAGATATGAGCCATCAAGGCCTGTCAGAAACAATTTTTTTTTTTTTTGGTCGGCCGTGGGGCTTGAACTCTGGGCTTGGGCGCTATCCCTGCGCTCTTCAGCTCAAGGTGAGCACTTGACTGCTTGAGCCACAGCACCACTTCCAGTTTTCTAGTTGTTTATTGGAGATAAGAGTCTCACGGGCTTTCCTGCTTGGGCTGGCTTTGAACCTTGATCCTTAGATCTCAGTCTCCTGAGTAGCTAGGATTACAGGTGTGAGCCATGGGCGCCAGGCTAGAAACAAAAAATTTTAAGTCATGATTTTTAAACCTTTCATGTACAGATGGTACATGCCTGTGTCTCCCCCACCCCACCCCCAGGAGTTCACCTGGCCAAGCAGGGGTGAGATTCAAACTGGAACTCAGAGGTTTACAAACCAGGTTTGATGAATAGCTAGGTCTGGCAAGAAATGGCTGTGGTCCAGGCTCTGTGCCTAACCTGAGAGCCCTAATGACCCCCTATGGGGAGTTGGTGTCCCAGTCAGACTCAGAGATTGGGTGGAGAGCCCCCAGCCTCTGTACGTCTATGCAGATAGGTGACCTGGTACCTGATGGCTAACCTGAAGAGGAAGCAAAGAGTTGGAGCATGATTTGAGCTAGAAAGAGGCAAGCTCAAGAGCCTAGTTGGCGCTGTTTGAGCGTGACTTTGCTGCATGCATGCAGTATCTGCATAAGGTGATCAGATTCAACACTTAAGCCCTCCTTGCTTTTGAGCCTAAGGAGTAAGTGCTGGGTTATGTGTTTTGTTTTGACCCTCTTACCTCAGCCTCCCAAGTACTGGGTTTTCGGTGTCACAGGTGTGCACCATAGTGCCCAGCCGGCATGTGGCAATGTTACTAAGTTTCTGGGTGAGAAACTGAAGCCCAGAGAGGGTACGTGATTTCTGTCAGGCTCTAAAAGCGGGTCCTTTCTCAAGCCTCCAGACTGTGGCCAGGAGGTTGCAGAGGGAGCGCACGCCTTGCTGGGCAGAGGGGGCGGGGGCGCGGCCGCTTTAAAGGGCGGCTGTTGGAGCTCGGAGGTGCTGGGCGCAGCAGCCAGAGTAGGGTCTCCCTGAAGAGCCTGCGGGGCTGGCTGTTCGCCTCCTCTTGGCTCTGGCCAGAGAAGAAGCGGCTGCTGGGCCCCACCCGGCCGAGGCACCGGGGGGCCAGAGTGGGTGCGGAGGGGTCCGCGCCGCCGCCACCGCCGCAGGTGTCAGCTCCCAGATGGCGCAGCACGTGCGGTGATGGCGTCTGCGCCCCAAGGGTCTCAGCCCTGCGCCCCGCGTCCCCAGGACAGCATGGATCGCCCAGAGCCCGAGCTGATCCGGCAGAGCTGGCGGGCGGTGAGCCGCAGCCCGCTGGAGCATGGCACCGTCCTGTTCGCCAGGTGAGCGCTGCCCGAGCTCCCGAGGAGGGGGGGGCAGGGGGAGGGGTGCCCCTCCGGGGGGTGGGCTCCGGGAGGCTGGACCTGCTGGGGGGGGGGGGGAAACCTGACCCCACTGCGGGGGGCGGGGGGCGGCTGCCAGATGTGCGCCAGAGAAGTGGGGCGC